AGACGCACCACCAGGCGTGGAACATGCCTCGTGCGTGTACACCCTCTTTGTATGTTCCCAGCTTGATAACAACGTTTTCCCTTCCAGCCTGGAGAAGAACGGAGGGCCCTGCGTAAACACCATCTTCAGAAAAGGTAACTGGTCTTTCTTCCCTCTGACCCTGCGTTCCACTGACCGCGTTCCCATGTGGGCGCCCGGACGCTGTACGCCTGACCTGTCTCCCATGGATAAGCCAGGGTTACGCTTTTCTTTTAATATATTTTCACTGATTTCAGAGAGAAAGGGAAAGGGAGAGGGAGATAGAAACATCCGTGATGAGAGAGAATCACTGACTGGCTGCCTCCTGCAGGCCCCACACTGGGGATCAGCCCCAAACCCCCCCCCCCCCCCCGTATGTGCCCTGACCGGGAATCGAACCGTGATGTCCTGGCTCATGTAGGTCAATGCTCAACCCCTGAGTCACATGGCCGGGCTTTCCCTGTAAGGCCTTCCTTCCGCACACCCTGGCAGACAGTCCTGTCTCCCTCCCTCCATCCCTTCTCACAAGCCACGCTCAGGGCTGCTCAGGGCTACGTCGTCACTGACACCGCATGTGCTAGTTCGACCAGCCCCGCCCTCGCTGTTCTGTGCGTGTGCGCCTGGCCTGGTGGGTTCACAGACCACGGTTCCTCACTCCGTGCAGCGCCACACACGGTGGCCGACGCCCTTGAGATCCCAGGGCAGCCCTGACCACGGCTCCCGTCCGCGCCCCTCACAGATGAGGGGGAAATGACTGCTGGCCCCACGCGCGGGCTCAGAGCTGCGTGTGTGCTGGGGGAGGCCCGCTGCAGTCTGCTCGGCAGAGCGCCCGGGCAAGGGCACGGGGCACTGCTCAGAGGTCAGGGCGCTCCGTCACTAACGGAGGGGGGGATGGGGGAGCGAGCCAAAGGAGGAGAGCCTCACTGACTCTGCTCGAGGGAAGCGAGGTGTGGACATGTGGGAGGCGACGCGTCTGCCTGGCGTGGGGGCAGGAGTCTGGTGCTGGCACAGCTCCGCGTCCGCCTCATCTGCCCCGTTAGCACTGGCTTCCCACAGCTGTGCGCGGCCAGGCCCGTGGGCCCGGGAGAACAGAGGGGCCGTGGAGAAGGTGGCGATAAACGTCATCCCGTGGGAAGGCCATCGCGTGGAGAGAACGCGCTTTGCCCTTCTTTCGGTGTTGAAGTGTCCCTTCTTCCACCACGGGCTTCTTATTTAAGACAGTGGCATGTGTTCTCCGATGAGTGCCAGCTGGGCACAGTAAAAGTCGGCAGCCACAGGCCTGGCTGGCCGGAGGCCTGCCGGTGCCACGGAGGCGGGGTGCCACGGAGGTGGGGGTGCCACGGAGGCGGGGGTGCCACGGAGGCCTGCCGGTGCCATGGAGGCGGGGTGCCACGGAGGCGGGGTGTCACGGAGGCGGGTGCCACGGAGGTGGGGTGCCACGGAGGCGGGGTGCCACGGAGGCGGGGTGTCACGGAGGCGGGGTGCCACGGAGGCGGGGTGCCACGGAGGCGGGGGTGCCACGGAGGCGGGGTGCCACGGAGGCCTGCCGGTGCCATGGAGGCGGGGTGCCACGGAGGCGGGGGTGCCACGGAGGCGGTGTGCCACGGAGGCGGGGTGCCACGGAGGCGGGGTGCCACGGAGGCGGGTGCCACGGAGGCGGGTGCCACGGAGGCGGGGTGCCACGGAGGCGGGTGCCACGGAGGCGGGTGCCACGGAGGCGGGTGCCACGGAGCGGGGCTGGGGGAGCAGAGGGCAGGGCGGGGGCGGGCGGGCCGGGTGACGGTGCTCTGCCCCAGGGCGGGACCGCCGGAGGAGGCTGAGGCCCAGGCTCCAGCCGCGAGACTCGCTGACGCTGCTGCCGCCCGTGACGAGCTTCATCGGGCTGCTCACGGCCACCAAGAAGTCCGCCGCGCCCCACAACATCTTCTTCGCCGCCGCCACGTCCGCCGCCGCCATCCAGGTGTCCCGGCCGCGGATCGTGCTGCTGAGCGAGCTGGGCAAGCGCTCGCAGAAGGTCACCTTCGAGCCGGCGGAAGGCCAGTAAACCCGGGTGCCTGCCCGCGGGGCCTGAGCAGCTCCTGAGCGCGTGCTTTTTCTTGTGGTTATCTGTGCGCTGGCGGCAGAGAGGGCGAGGGACAGGGGGACAGGGACATCTATGCTGAGAACCACGGACCGGCTGCCTCCTGCGCGCCCCACACTGGGCATGGCGCCCGCAGCCCGGGCCTGTGCCTCCGACCGGAATCAAAGTTGGGACCTTTCAGCCCGCAGGCCGACGCTCTATCTATCCACTGAGCCACACCGGCCAGGGCTAAGTGTTTTATTTTTAATTGTGGTGAAATGCATATAACGAAGTTGTGTCATCTTTTTTTTTTTTTTTAAATATATTTTATTGATTTCTTAGAGAGAGGAAGGGAGAGAGATAGAGAGCCAGAAACGTTGATGAGAGAGAAACATCGAACAGCTGCCTCCTGCACACCTCACACCAGGGATGTGCCCGCAACCAATGTACATGCCCTTGACCGGAATCGAACCCGGGACCTTTCAGTCCGCAGACCGACGCTCTATCCACTGAGCCACACCGGTTTCAGCCATCTTTTTTTTTTTTTTTTTAATGGATGTATATTTTGTTGATTTTTTACAGAGAGGAAGGGAGAGGGATAGAGAGCTAGAAATATCGATGAGAGAGAAACATCCCTCAGCTGCCTCCTGCACACCTCCTACTGGGGATGTGCCCACAACCAAGGTACATGCCCTTGACCGGAATCGAACCTGGGACCCTTCAGTCTGCGGTTTCAGCTGTGTCATCCTTTTTAACGGGGCAGGGGGGAGGGGAAGGGAAGGGGTTTCTGATGTGGATACTTAGCAGATCGCCCTCCGCCTGCCTCCTGGGGTCACGTGCGGTCAATGCCAGTAAGGTGAGAGCTGCCGGAGAGGACAGGCCGGCCGCAGGGGGTCTATCGCTCAGGTAACGCCCGGTGACATCTGGTGATCAATTCTGCAAATGCAGAGGCTTCTCACACCTGAAACGTATCCCTCGACACATTTCATTTAAAAAGAAAAACCCGAGCTCATGACGTCAGGACAACATCTCCACACGGGGTGTCACGGAGCGGGGTCCGCTGTGCTCGGCACCACCCGCTGTGGGTGCCCAGAGAGCGCTGCCCCGGGGAGTGGGGAACGACCTATGGGACCCCCAAAGGGCAGTGACTGAGGCGGGACCACACTGAGACCCGTCGTCACAGAGCTGATCCTTGCCTCCTGGTGTCTCTGCAGAGCGTGTCTCCGACAGAACGTGGTCGCCCAGTCCCACGGGGATGACCTAACGTGAGCCTCTCCTGGTGAAATCTGTGGGTGTGGGAGCAGCCACAGTGTTGGCACAGGTCCGAGCCTCGGACTGATGAGGGCGCACAGTCCTCTCGTGGCAAAGCCACGTGCAAGCCCCAGCCTGGAGGGCAGAGCCTCCCAGCTCCGTTGTAGCCAACAGCTGTGGCTGTGAGCGTGAGCTGTGGCCTGAACACGTGGCCCCAGGTGTGGGCTCGATAGAGTCCTAGTGATGCCTGAGCGACGTGGGCTTGATAGGGTTCAGGTGCACGCAGGTGAGGCGGATGGAATCCCACGAGAATGTTTAAACAGGCTGACCGTGCCCTTCCTTGGCCTGTGGCATCGGCTGTGAAATAAAGACGGGGCTTGCAGGCCGTGGCGCTGTCGCTAGCTCTCCGTCAGCAAGGCTCTCCGACAGCGAGGACGGCGCCCACCCTGGCCCAGCCACCATTCTCTGGTCTGTCTGTCCTGAGCCTTTCAGCCGCTCCCTCTCAGGTCACCGGCCGTGCTGGCGGCACAGAAACCTCCCGGGACACGCCCAGTGGACAGCGACGTCCTCACGTTAAAGTCGCTCTGACCCAGGCAGAAAGGGACAGACTTTCTGACATCCGCAGTTCCAAGTTCCAGATCCAAGGAAATCATCCCCAAAAAAAACCAGACCCTTTTCGTCACATACACTTCCATCAATTGAATGAAATGTCTCAAATAAGGGATGTAAACATACATGGTCACCTAAACGGCAGTGCAATAGGGTGGTGAAGGTCTGGCAGGGGCCGGTGCGGGGGGAAGGGTTGGTTGGGGAAGGGGGGCTGCCTGTAATACTGTCACAATAGAGATAACTTTTTAAGTGCGATGCACAGTGAGAAGCTGCTTGCACGCCTTTCCTGTGAGTCTCAGGTGGTTCAGAAGCGCAGGCATCCCTCTGCCCGGGGAACACACCTGGCTGACAGGTGTCTACGCAGGCAGACACCGCTCGCCAGTCACCTTTGGTCTTGGTTTAGAATTCTGTCCCGGCTCCCTTTCTAAAACTCTTCTCTATTTGGAAGTCAGGCTAATGTTTCAGCAGAAGCCCTTCCTCCCTATAAAAGCTCCCCCACTCTGACATGACAAAGGGGGGAGACCAGCTGGCATAACATGGGCCAGAATTCAGCAGTCACCGCCTTTCTCCCTGCAGGGCTGCTTCTCTGCCTGCCAGCATCAGTGCATCCTCCCCCGTTTTACTGAGGGTTTTTATTTAAAAACACATTCTCTTATAAGACAATAACACTGCTATATAGTCTCTCAAAAGAGCAGGTGCTGAACATCAAATCAAGAGAAGGAATACAAAAGAAAGTCTTGAGCAATATTATCTCCTACACTTTGATATATAAAAAAAAAAAAAAAAAAAAAAAAAAAACCCAAATTGAAATGTTGAAATATTACCTTTAGGGATTTTTTGAAAAGCAAAAATCAAATCTTCATTTAAAAAAAAATAATATATATATATTTTATTGATTTCGGAGAGGAAGGGAGAGAGACAGAAACATCAATGATTGGTTGCCTCCTGCACACCCCCTCCTGGGGATGGAGCCCACAACCAGGGCATGTGCCCTGATCAGCATTTGAACTGTGACCTCCTGGTTCATAGGTCGACGCCAACCACTGAGCCATGCCAGCCGGGTTCAAATCTTCATTTTTAATCGTGGAACTTTTATGGCGGCTTCTCCCACTTCTTTGGATATATCCACCCCCAGAGGGCATCTGCATCAGAATCAGACAAACTCATTACTGCAAACACTGGCTTCCGTCCGGCACTAGTTCTATGGATTGTTTGCTTAGAACTCAAACAACACACATATCTAGTTTACAGTTAATCCCAGGTGGTGATAGTTCTCAAATACAAATACAATAGGATCTCAAACCAGATTAATTGGTGAAGAAAGGCCAGTTCCATTAATAAGAAATCTAAATTTGGAGACTTTTTAAAACCATTTTGAGGTATACTTGACATTTGTAAAAAGCTACACTTATTTAATATACACTGAGTGTCCAGGTTATTTGATCTCTGAACAGATAATAAATCTGGCCACTCCGTGTATATCCTATATAATAAAAGGCTAATATGCAAATTGTCCCCTTCACCAGGAGTTCGACCAGCAGGCAGGCCAGCCAAACGCCCACGCCCCCTCCCACTAGCCAGGCTGGCCGGACCCCGCCCATGCACGAATTCATGCACTGGGCCTCTATTAATGCGTTCAGAGATCATAATATTCTGGTCCCTCAGTGTATACAACTCAATGACTTTGGAGATTGAGATGTTTTGAAAGAAAGAATTCTACAGCTCTCAAATACTGTAAATACATAAAAACTTGAAATGAGGTAGAAAAATAAAGTCTTGTATTCTTTATAAAGCTAAGAAGGTGAACAGGTCACCATGCAGCTGAAGGCAAACCTGCACCCCTTCCCACGTCAGCCATCCCCCAGGCTCCCACCATCGGGCTTGCTCCTGGTCCCCCTTCCGCTGTCGCTGCCGCAGGAAAGTCTTAGGTCCTACCCGCTCTCTGTTCTTCCTCAGTTCTTCACATGGCTTCTGGCTCTGCTATTTCACTGTTACCTGACCTGGGAAAAGCCACTGTCTCCCGCCTCCACCAGGCCCCAAGGAGACACCACTGCACCGATGGCGAGTCCCACCGAAGGCTGGGCCGTCCACACCGGTGTGTGTGTGTGTGTGTGTGTGTGTGTGTGTGTTCTGCCACCGCCAGCTAACTGCTCACGCATCATCAGCCCTAAGAGCCTGGTTCCTGCAGCCACAGTTAAGGACGCCAATGCGGAAAAGGTTTTAAGTGTCGATGAAACCCTGTAGACCCAGAACTGCTGGGTTAGGCAGCGTGACCATCCTTCCTGGTTTTTCGCGTCCGGGATGAACACGTCCGGGACTCAGTAACGATGGTTAACGGTCTCCTCGGAGGAGCTCTGGGCTGGGAGACAGGAAGGCGCGCAGGGGCCGCTGGCGGCCGTGTCTCCGTGGCACGGAGAAGGGCATGTTCGCAACCCAGACTCCTCCGGCAGCTTCCAGCACAGTTCCCTCAGTTTCCCAGCATCCTCGCTGGTCCTGAGATGGATCTGACCTTGCAAAAGGCAGGCCAGGGACATGGTTTCCAGTCTGTTTCCCTTACCTGTCACCCGTTTCTAACCTATGACTTGTCAGGCTTTTTATCATTTGAAACTGTAGCAAACACATTTCTTACAAGGTACCTACCTGATAGGTTCCCGAGAGAAACGACTGTAGCCAGCGTATCAGCGGAAGCCTCACCTATGAAAGCAGCCTCCCGGCCTGACTTTCCATGCGGCCTGCATGAGGGGAGCAGGCGCTGCCTACCTGGGTTCATAGCGGACGCCTTCCGCGTCGTCCAGAATGCCCACACCGGCACGCAGTCTCTCGATCCCGTTCCTGAGAGGGTCATGGGACAGCGAACAGCCCGTCAGAGGAGGCGGCGGAGCGTGGCTCCCGGGGAGGCAGGCGCGCCCGGGCCTTACCACGCGATCATCACGCCGTTGTCGGTGCACAGCCTGGGGGGGGGACACAGCAGGGCGCACTGGGTGGCGTCTGCTACGGTTTCCAGAGCTTTCCGGATGTAGAAGTTGCTGGCGACTCCTCCAGACACCACCTAGGAGCGGAGGAGACCCGGGCAGCGTCACACGGTGAGAGCGGCCGGGAGCTCCCCTGGGAAGCAGCAGCATCGACGACAGAGCATACGTCCCCGCTGGCGGAGGCGTGATGGGCTAGTGATGCATTTGATACTAAAGAATTTAAGAAAAATGCCACAAAACATTTCATGGTCAGCGTATCATCACGGTGATCCTATTTCAGCGTTATCTTCCTCTGACCTTTTTCTAAGGACAGTCAGAGAACAATACCTTAGACCCTGGAGTTTTTACGTATGAGCGCTTTTTTCTTAAATAATTCTTTATTTACCTTTGATACTCCATTCTGCCCATCTACCTCCATCTAAATACGGCCTCATTCCCTAATTTTCAGAAGAATGCACTTTAGAAGCAGTCGCCCGAGAAGCTCACCACGCTGTGAGCACGTGGGGTTTCATCAAAGGACACGAGCTTTAAGGAGACCAGCCTGTTTCTCTAAGATCATGCCGCCAGCTCCTGCGTTCCTCATGGCAGACCCTTCAACATGCACGAGCAGAGCAGCCTGGGGCTCCCTGGCCACAGGGCTGTGCACACCCCCAAGGCTGCCTCCGTACCAGGAGGGGCACCAGGAAGGGACGTGGGTCTTCCCTCCGCGGGTGGCAGAGCCTTTCTCTCCGGGCACAGGCGGCTGAGCCCTCGGAGAACACCGCTCCAGGGCGAGGGGCTCCAGGGCGAGGGGCTCACCAGGGCAGCATTGCTCGGGGGCAGCAGGCCTCTCTGCCGGCAGAACAGGAGGGCGCGGTGCGTGCGCTTGGCGAGGTGGCAGGCAATGGCGTGCTGGGCGGCGGCCGCGATGTCCGGGGCGGAGGACAGGACCTGGCCCGGCTCCAGGCCTGCGGACGGAGCACAGTATGTGTCATTCCCCTACCCCTTTTGTTACTTTATTTTGTTAACTCGCACCGAGGAGATTTTTCATTCATTTCCAGAGAGAGTGGAAGGGAGGGGGAGACAGAGAGAAACATCGATGCACATCGATGGGCTGCCGCCCGCATGAGCCCTGACCAGGGCCTGGACCCCTGCAACCGAGGTACATGCCCTTGACTGGAATGGAACCCAGACCCTTTGGTCTGCAGGCCGAAGCTCTATCCACTGGGCCAAACTGGCTAGAGCTGTCCACCTAATGTATTAGAAATATACCTTCCTCTTTTTCCTTCCTTGTCACTATCCTATCGATCACATGCTGCAGTCCAGAGAACGAGAAGTCACAGTTCTTAGTGCGGTGCATGGGCGGCGTGAGATCAAAGTGCAGCCTGTTTCCCCGTTTGGCCAAGTGCTCGATGGCCCTCCCGCCGCTCATGGCGGCACACTCCGGGTGCTTGGCCAGGGCCAGCCTCCTCGCCACCTGCCGGGAACAGACACACCCTCCAGTGAGCCAGAAACCAAGACGCAAAGGAACGGAAACGCACACCATGCCGGACGCGGGAGACACGCTCTGCGGTCGCAGAACGGGCGATAGGCGGTCAGCGACAGCCAGACCACAGCGACGTGTAATACCGTAAGCAATCAAGACTTAAAAACACAAGAAACGTAACTGCATTTGCAAACTATGTGAGCCTTTATGGGCTGCTGTACACCTCCCACATTGTATTTGAGATGGGGTAGAAAGCATCTTTTGTAAACTACTTTTTCTTTCTGTCTTCCTCCACACATACTTTTTCAGTCTCATGGGATTGCATTCAGGAATATTTAGATCAATGGGACTAGTGCAGACATCGCCGCTTAGCTGCAAATGACACCTTCACAAAAAGCAATGCAGAGATTAGTTCTGAGTTACCTTGTCAAGCATGTCGCCTGGCGCTATGTCCAAAGACTTCCCAAGAAGCAGGAAGTCTGAGACGCCTCTGACCAAGGCCAGCAGACAGTGGCCTCCAGAAATCAAGAGCACTAAAAAGGGAAACTCCACTCTATCCGTCAGCCTAATGGTCAGCGCGTGCGCCTCCATGTGGTGGATGGGGATAAAGGGCTTTTTCCACTGGCCCACCAGCTGCAGGCTGAAGGACAGGCCCACGCCCAGGCTCAGGGCGAGGCCGGGCATGGTGGTGGTCGCCACGGCTGCCAGCTCGCCCGGAGGGACCCGGCTGGCGGAGAGCGCCTCTTGCACTATTCGCTGGATGTTTTCTCTGTGAAGCTGCTGGGCCACGGGGGGAATGATCCCGCCTGTCCTGAAAGAGATTTTTAAAAAGCTTGTTATAATTTTAAGGCTGTAAAAACAGGGGGAGAAAAAGTATATATGAGAGCTGAAGGCACGTTTCCAAAGTCATCGCTATATCGCTAAAAAACGTTAGTCACATGCTTTCAAACGTGTCTCACAAGGCAGCAGCGGAACCTAATGGGCAGTGACTCCGGGCGGGATGTCTCTGCACCACATTTGTCTGTCGCTGCAGGAAATCGCCACCATAACCTCGAGCAGCTTTCTAAGGAAGAATCTCGAGCCAGGAAAGGACAGGGTGAAAATGGACTTTGGAAAAGCTGATCTCTCCGCAGGCAGGAGGATTTTAAAAGGTTTTAAAGTTACTGCCAAAGGCGGGGGTGATTACATCTTAAACTGGGTGGGTGTGGGAATGGAAGGAAAGGTAGGGTTCCAATCTTATTGGGGAGAGCCTTAAAGGCCAGGCTGGGGGTGGGGGCGGGGAGGGGGAGGCTGTCTAACAACAGCAGTTCTTAGAAGCTTTTGTACAAGAGAAGCAATTAGCTCCTCAAATTTAACTTTTATACAAGACTAGAGGCCCAGGGCCTGACCAGCAATCAGGGCTGATTAGGGCCTGGGAGGCTGGCCGGCCAGGGGGAGGGACCTCAGGAGATTGGCTGTCTGGGGGGAGGGACTGAGGTTGGCTGGCCAGATGGGTTGAGGGGCTGAGGGAAGTTGTCTGTGGGAACACATTGACCACCAGGGGGCAGCTTTTGCATTGAGTGTCTGCCCCCTGGTGGTCAGTGTGTGTCATAGCGACTTACTGGTCATTTCAGTAGTTTGGTCGCTTAGGCTTTTATATGTATAGATAAACAGAAAAGAACTATTTTATTTTACATTTTCCAAAAAAAGTGGAAAACCAAGATAGTGTCTACTTACTTTAAGTGGACTTCCGTTTGGGAATGTATTGCTTCCCCCAAAATATTTCCAGTTTCATCCACCACAGCAGCTGCTGTGTCGTCACAACTGGTCTCAATTCCCAGCACCACTCTGTGAGGAGAGGCTTTCCCAGGATGGAAATGGAAACTTCTCAGATACTCATAAATTTTCCTTCTTAATGGTTTAGGAAGGACTCTTGCTGTCTTACTCAATATTAGCATACTTGCTCTATTGGTAATTCCTGGAAAAGAATTAAAGAAACAAACTTGTTATTGGGAATTGGCATTAGGCACTCAACCATTAAATTAAGCAAAATTCTGAAAGCTTGGTTTATTTTCTAATGTGTAGTTTTATAAAATTATAGGAAAGTCTTATAAAAATCAGCAAAAAAAAATTTAAAGGCTATAGCAACTTGTTATGTAATTTATATACTATAATATAACTAAGTGTGAATGAATGTAATACTCTTTGAGGGGAAAATAGGGAAGTGAGACGTAACTTTTTGGATTACTGTTACCATCATGCTGTTCTTACCAAACTCCTCTTTATTCTTTACAAAACAGCTAGTATTCTGGTATAACAGCTGCATGGAATAGTCCTCCGGAAAGTGCTACTTATTTCTTTGGCTGCTAACATTAAGACAAAATGTGGTTTAAAAAAAAAAAAATCAAACAATAAAGGCAAAATAGATCAGTAAAAATAAACGCAGCCTATTTCTTGGAAACATCTTTTAAAATAAATTTAATCATTTGCAAAAAGAGCAGACACACAAAGTAAGCTTTAATCGCCTAGTTCACAAACAAGGGTTCTCATACCTGTCATCTCACACGAACCACATTTCGACTACAGAGACTGCAACCCCCTACTTTCCCCATTAGTTACAACTTTTCGAATTAAATTTACCTTCCTGCCAGAGGTTTATCCTAACAGGGATGTCCCCAGATCCCATTCTCCCCAACATAGCAGCCGTCCATCGCTAACGCCCCCTGGCGCTGCCAAGGATTAATGCCATGTCCCCACACCACCTAGAACTGTCTGCGTGTTGTCCTGGCCGGTTGCTCAGTGGATAGAGCACCGCCTGGGGGACTGAAGGGTCCCGGGTTCCATTCCGGTCAGGGCACCTCCCTCAGTTGCAGGCTGGATCCCTGGCCCGGTCTGGGCAGGAGGCAACCAGTCACGTGTGATGTTTCCATCGCTCCCTCTCTCTCTACCATCTCTTAAAGTCAGTGGGCAGATGTCCCCAGGTGAGGATGAACAAAACACAACAAAAAGACTGACAGAGCCTCTGGGGCCCTTTCCCTAGCACCAGCGGGACAGCACGGGCGGAGGGAGCGAGCACGGATCCAGGGAGCAGCGGGCATCGGGGGTGAGGAGCGATCCACCTGTTCGGAGATCAGCGTGGGGTTCAGCTGACAGACACCCCGAGAAATCAGGTGTGCAACCCCCAGGGCGGCCCGCGGGCTCCCGGGAAGCCGCGCCTGGAGCTGCCTGGCCCCGGAGGTCACGGTCAGCTCCGGCCGGCTTCCCCGCTGCCGCCCGTGGGGACACATTTAAAAGGCGGCGCCGCGGCCGCCGGCCCGCGCAGGGGCGGGTCGTGGATGCGGCCGCGCGGAGGCGCCGGAGGAGCGGCCACTCACCGCTCCCGAGGGCGCGGGCCGGGCGGCGGGCGCTCGTCCGCGGTCTCCGCTCCGCCTGCCCGGCCCGGAAGCCGCCGCGGGACCGGAAGTGACGTCATCGCCCAGCGCCGGCGCCCGGAGACACCACAGCCCCGAGGAGGCCGCGCGGTTAGTCCGTCTGCCCCGGGCGCTGGGGGGGGCTGCCACGCACGGTCCGGGCCGGAGGCGGGGCGGGGGCGGAGCCGGGGCGGGGTTGGGGCGGCGGGGGCGGGCCCGGGGCGGGGCCGGGGCGCGGGCGCGGGCGCAGGCGCAGGCGGGCTCGGCCCGGCCGCCGCCCGGTCCCGGGCTGTCAGGGGCTGAGAGTGGTTTGGAGCGGCCCGGGCGCCCTGTGGGAGAGCGTTGGCTGGGTGGTCGCCATCCGTGTCCGAGGGCCTGTCACCCCACCTCACGCTGCGGCCGGGGACACCCCGTAGTCCGAGAGCCGGGATGGGGCGCCGCCAGGGCCCCCAGAGCACGGACCCCGGAGCCATCACTCCCACCTCCAATACCTGGAAGGTGGGCGGTCCGTTTCGAGGTAAAACTTCCCTTCAAAAATCTAATACCCTACCTCCCCCCCCCTAGCCCCCCTTTTCCATTAAGGTATTACATGTGTGCATATCTTCCCATACCTGCCCTCACCCCGTGTGTGTCCGTTGGGTAGGCCCATATGCATGCACACAGTCCTGTGGTTGACCTCTTACCTCCCCCACCGCTCCCCCACCTTCCTAAATACTGAAATATGGTAGCAGTCTTACTTGGGTAAAAACTGCTGTTTGAATTTTAACCTTGCTGACTTCCACCTTCGATTACTGGCCTAAACAACAGGGTAGTTACAGGAGATTGACTCCCACTGACTCAGTAGCTTCAGGGGTAGAAACTATAGATAACCTTTAGAGATTAACCTCCGAGTTCTGCTTTTGTATTACGGGCAAGATAGGGCCACAGTCCAATGTTCCCAGCCTTTAGAATGTAGAACAAAGGGAAGTTCCTGAGGTTTGAAGCTTTAAAAGGAACTGCCTACACCTGGATCAGTGCGGGCCTGTGGGGCCCACCTGCTGTTGTGCTCCCGCGGCCGTCCTGGCCAGTTTTTCAATAAACCCTTGCCTGCTCTTTTTTAATCAGTCTTCAGCCTCCGGTGGTCTTATTTTGAACCCAGGGTTCGACCCCACAACAAATACCCCACTTTTAGAATGCCTTGCGCTCAGGGCTTTAGCACAGAGGGCTCATGTTCTTGCGCCCCCACTCTTTTTTTTTTTTTTTGCTTTTATTGAAATGTGAGCTCACGGCCACTTTTCTGTCCGAGAGGCCTTCCTCCCTGCAAGGCTCTCGGGGCTCAGGAAGCGAGCACCCCGAGATGTAAGGTTGGCAGCGCTGGCACCTGGCGGCTTAAAGTTAGTGAGATGCATACACCACAGGCGGGAAGTCATCCTCTCGTGACGGATACAGATAGTAAATTCATAACTACCAGAATGTTTTTTGTTTTTTTAAAAAAATATTATTGATTTTGTACAGAGAGGAAGGGAGAGAGATAGTTAAAAACATCGATGAGAGAGAGTCATCGACCAGCTGCCTCTTGCACACCCTCCACTGGGGATGTGCCCGTAACCAAGGTACATGCCCTTGACCGGAATCGAACCTGAGATCTTTCAGTCCCCAAGCCGACGCTCTATCCATTGAGCCAAACCGGTTTTGGCTACCAGAATGTTATGGAAGGTTTTTTTTTAGGTGAAACATCGTTTTTGACTTATTGCTGTGTGGCAGTAGTCATAATGCACAGTGAAGTGGCACTTAGCATGTGCCAGGCCCTGTTGCAGATTAATTTACTGAACCTCCCGACAACCCTGCCAGAAAACCATCTTCGTCTCCCTAATAGAAAGATGTGGAAGGCTGGTCAACCTTGAAGCTCTGAAAGGTCAGAGCCAGGCACTCCCTGTCTAATTGGACAATGGTAACTGAGGCAACTTCCCCATCAATATTCATGTAAATCCTCACTGATAAAATAATCTGCCTGTTACTGGAATTTCCTGCCTAAAGGCTATGGGTGTATCCCAGTCTCAATAAAAGGGATAGCTAGGCCATTATGGACTCTGGCTCTTTATATTAATTTATGAGGAATGCAACAATGAGGAGCTAGGATAGTTGAACTAGCTGGATTGGGATTTGGTGTTGACCAAATCCCAGAGAAAGCCAATCAAACTATAATCAGGACTGCTTAGTAAATATGGAATGGAAAACAACAGAGATGGGTTTGGTGCTTCCCAAGGGCTCATTTTGAACTTGACACACCCCTTCCCATTTGAGTCACATACTTCTCTTGTCTTCATAACTTGAGTTGTGGTAAAAATAGCTATTTGCCTCTTTTCCTTTGCTAAGAAATATCTTTTGATATGAAACATTCATTCATGGTAATATTGTCATCAGGTCTCATCTTTGGAAGATATTTTGCTCTTTGTTTGCTGCGTCATTATGCTTCATAAATTTACTGTGACTTTAATCATTTTTGTGTGTGCAGCTCAGTGGTATTAAGTACTCTGTACTGTTGTGCAGCCATCATTACCATCCATCTCCATAACTTTTACACCTCTCCTAACTCTGTATCCATTGAACACTAACTCCCTATTACTGTGTGACCGACCCCTTTCTTCCCCACTCCTCTGGCCTCTGGCCACCACCAGTTTGTTTTTATGACTGTGACCATGAAGGAAAACCATCGTTTAACAACACTACATGTTGAAGACTTGAGGTTTTAGTGACTGCCTTCACTTGCTTAATTTTTTGCCCCATAACATTTATTACTACATGAAATATGTTTATTCATTCACTTATTATCTATTCTCCAGCTAGACTATAAGCACATAAGGGAAAGAACTTGGTTTGTCTTGTTTACAAACTGTATCCACAATACCTGAAGTAATACCTACAACAAATATTTATTAAATATTTTTAAAACATGAAGGGGGAAAGTGGGAAAAATAGCAAGAGGCCTGGATTAGAGCCAGATTTCTATCTCTGAAGTATATGCAAAAATAGTAAGCCTTTTGAGATAAACTTTAAAAATTAAGAAAAACAAAGTACTATTTAAATTTTTTTTTTTTTTTTTTTTACAAGTTCAGTTGCTTAAAATAAACCTTGAAAAGTAACAGTATAACACCGATGAATGAATTTGGAGATTTAGCGATAATCCTACACCAAAGAAAATTTTTATTGATTTGAAAAAAAATACACAGGAAAAGACAAACATACAAAGGCATTATCATACAACTGATTCCTAAAGTCAATACTTTTGAAATATAAAACAATTATCCCCCAAGTCAGTTTATTGAAACAAACTGACTTTAAGTTGGTCTATAACTTTTCAATTTTGTTTACAAATGTTCCTAGGGTTTTCAGTATTATCCCATGTCAGAACTTGTTTTTCTGGAAATATTTACTTCTCAAAGTTGTATATAGTTACTTCTTGCAATTAATGTCAGCAACTATCAGAAGCTTCTCTAGGTCACAAGAATTCAATATGGCTGCTGCTTTGGAAATAGTTACCCTATTGGGCTATCTACATGAAGACTCATGTACTGAAAGTCCAAGTATTTCCTTCTCTAAAGAATGGCAGACTTAAGTAATAGAGATTGCTCAATCACATACCGGTAAGCAGAGACTTTTAAGTTAGAATATACTTTAACTGGGAAATAAATTATTTTCGTAATTGGTTTAGCAGCTGTAGGTCTGCAAAGGCAGCAAACCTCATTTTGTTTCACAATTAGAAGGCTGACTCGGAGGCTGTTTGTAAGATGCCTAACTACCTTCCATCACCAGTCCGTTGTGATCATGGACCTCAGTTATTTACTGAGTTTAACTCAGTAAGTTACTCAATGTGACAGCGATCTCATCCATCCACACACAATGTTGAGCCAGCAAAATGAGAAAAAAAGCAGCCCACTCACAAGGCTTATGTAAAACAAGAGGGCATATGTCCTCTTACACAGCACAAGAGGAGCATATATGGCAAAAAACAACCATCTACAGCAGACCTGGGAAGAGATGGGTTTTGGTTTACGTGTAAATTGGCTTAAACTGACCATGGCGGAATGATTGGAAAGTTTCTTCTCTAACATAATGCCCATTCGTTATAAACTAAGCTGGCTTAGTTTCTTATAAATCTTATTTCCTTGGATTTATCTACTACCCCTCATTCTATAGCCTTTTAACTTACAAGCTGGGCCTGCCCAGCCCACCTCTGAAGCCTCTCTAGAGAAAGGTACCCGCTGCAGTGAACACGGGCATCCTCCAGGAAGAACCTGCACTTCAAACAGCACAGGAAGAACCAGCGCTGGGCTCTCTGTGATTTGCCTCCCATTTCACACTACCAGAGAAGCAGTGAGTTTACCAGCCAGCCCTTCCTTACAGGCAACTCAGTAGCGTAAAAGCTTTTCTTCCGTTTCAATACTTGTTAATTCCAAAAATCCGAACTCCATGCAGCTGTGGCACTTTGGGAATTAGCACACTCAAGAGAGAAGCTGTGTTCAGCATGAAGTGAGTTGGGTCATACTTCGTATAGAAACTTGCCAGAAAATATCTGTAGAAATAAAAGTTATGAATATATTTAACGTTTAAAAATATTACTTTTAATGAAGGCATATATGCACATTTTCACTTCTGCAATTCTGTTAAATGCATTTAATAAAATAGGTTTGCTACTTAACATCCTTACAGCAGGCTTTCAAACTAGGGTTCATGTGCTCCCTAAAATTTCAGGTGTAGTTTAGTATCTGTGTGTTTCTGAAGAAAAGATTCAGATCCAAAGATACATCATATCCTCTAGGCTTTTGTGACCCACCAGCTGTGAGTGGAGAAAAACAGGGTTAGTGCATTAGTACAATTAGTGTCTTTGAACAAAAGCAAATACTTGGTTGCCTTTTAATGGTCTCATTTCCATACTGTGGACAAACAAGTCTACAACCAGTTTAGCTGGAAACTTGAAAGACACTGTTGTAAAATTCCAGCTGTTTTGCTATAACTTGAATATACATACATATTCAGACACCCAACATCTGAGAATTTGTTTTAATAAGCCCAACCCAACTGTAAGGCCAAAAATCGAGTCAGAAAATGAGCAGTACATCAGAGCACAGACACATCATCTGGGCCCTAACAACAGTATCCTAATAGAGACAAGATTTAGAGAATAAAATACCATAACTAAAGAAGTTAGTCTGCATATGGGTGTTTTGTATTTTTGGAGCGCACAGGAAAGTATTCTTTTTTTTTTTAAGTATTTTTTTAAAAAACATATTTTGATTTTTTACAGGGAGAAAGGGAGAGGGATAGAGCACCAGAAACATCGATGAGAGAGAAACATCGACCAGTTGCCTCCAGCACACCTCTTACTGGGGATGTGCCTGCAACCAAGGTACATGACCTTGACTGGAATCGAACCTGGGACCCTTCAGTCTGCAGGCCAACATTCTATTCACTGAGCCAAACCAAACAGGGCAGGAAAGTATTCTTATAGCTTTTCTCCTAAGTATTGTCATTAGTTTCTCATAAGGGAGATAACTTTAAATACAGTTTGAAAAACAAAAGCTATTTTCAAAAGACTAAAAATATCAGAGCTGGGCACGTCATTTTCAGATCTAAATTAAAAAATTTATAATTTTAAACTTACTTTACAAACTATATAGTCAGAAAATTCTTAAGAATAATCCATATTCCTTAATCTTTACTTTCATATCCTTTCTTCCTGTTTTCATATACTTTAATACTGCTATTTTCCTCCATTCAATGAACAAAATAGGATATCATTTGTATATAGTAAGCTTATTTGATTTCCCATCATCATTATGGGCTTAATCTATAATCTGCTATGTTGGAAAATAGAAAATCTTCTCAGAATGCTTTCGACTTATCATAGCATAGCATATGTCCCCTTTGTGTCTTTTAATTCAACAGTTGCCAACCGGTGGTCCACGGACCACTGGTGGTCTGTGAGGTCCAAAGGTTGGTGACTGCTGTGTTAATGAACAAAAACTGTGTGTGTAGATTATATAAAAATTACTTTGCTATACAAAAAAACCAGCCAATCTTCCAAGGAGATGCAAAACCAAGTGGCAATCAGTGTGATGGTGTTTATTTGCCAAATAATATTCTGGAAAGAGACCTGTATTAGAAGCTGGAAGTTTAGGGTTTCATCTGGGCTTTTGACTCCAACTACCCGCAAGATCTGGAGCAAGGTAATGAGACTGTTTCTTTAAAAATCTGGGCTAACAATTCACATCTCACCACCTGACAAATAATGATCAAGTAAGAAAATGTCTTACTGTCACCACATATCAATGCTGCATAGATGGTTTTAATGCTGCTTTTTCAGTTATGTAAGGAATTTAACCAGATGCCAGATAAAAGGTCAAATGCTTTACAGATGCTGTATCATTTACTTCTTATAGTAGATGCCACAGAATTTTATTTATGAGCAACCGAACTGGCGATTCAATCCAGGTCTAACCTCTCTATTCTCTAAACCAGTGATTTTCAACTGATGTGCTACAAAAATGTTTAAAACATGCAGTACCCCCTAGACTTTCAAATAAAAAAAAGTCAATAGCCAATAATAACCACCTGGTATGAATTAATCAAAAGTACCCTTTTTTGGTCAGGTTGGAAAAAAAAAAAAGGTACATTTTGGCGTGCTACAGAATTTGAGTAATTAGTTTATGTGTTCCATGAGATAAAAAAGGTTGAAAATCACTGCTTAAGGAGTTTGAACAGCCTAATGGGGCAGGTGGTCAATGAAGTATGTCTGAAATTGTCCAAACCTGTTTAGAGAGAGCAATCCGATAGTGGACTATAGAGAAGACTATGTGTTTAGTTTTGATAAGCAACTTATGAACATGAACTGGGATACATTTGACCTGTCTAACCTAGAATGTGTAGGCATACTGATGGGTGTGTAATGTGGTTCCCATATGCTACTACTAAAGTGAAAACTTTTATTACAGCTTGTTAAAGATTTTGCCTGTATTTTACATTCTACCTGAGGTAGCTATTTATCGACAGAAGTTTTTAACAAAATACTATTTCTAGTTCAAATTCAATCTAATAAAACCACAGCTGCCTCTTACCTAATCCCCGCCCACCTAAAACTTCCCACCACTCACAGGATTATTGGAGAGACGGTGAAAAACTTGCGTGAAGAGGTGAACTGCACTCCATAGTCCAGCTGCTCCCAGTGAGTGAGGAGCCTTGCCTTACCCTGGTCCGGAGTTTCAAAAGGAGTTCCTTTCACCGCGTGCATAAACACATACATCCCCTGGAGAGCAAGCACGGAGCGTGTCATTAACGTCACAGACAGAATTGGTCCTTGTCAGTAAACAATGCGATAGTTCCAGACTATCTGTGACAAAGTATAAGATTCAACTTACAGCTCAAGCATTAACCTTTCACATTATTATTTCCTCAGAGTACAAAAAAACTTCCAGAGGTAGATAAATATTATTGGGTGAAAACCAGTGAGAAGTCAACCAAAAGTAACCTGCTTTCATCTTTTTATTAAATTGAAAATAAACAATAAGTATTATCAGGGTAACTATATAATTACATTTAGATTTTTTTCTAAAATCTTTCCTATTAGGAAACAGGATTACCTTTTCTCCAATGTGTAGGAAAGGTTTATTGTGGCATATTAGTAAATATGATAATACTTATAAAATAAAAAATACAAATTAGTAAATAATGGTAATAAGCAAAACCTCTATATCAGGAAAAATGGTTTTGAAAATATTTAACATTAAAACTGTCGTTGTCCCAATAGCTCTCTTCCAAAGCAATAAAGATGGTTTGCTGTAATAGGCATAATGTTCAACTCAATTTGCTTTTAAAGTCACAACTGTGCCTCAAAGTATATCCTTTGAAGTTAGTTTTTAAAAATAAAGTATTACTAAAAGCCAATGTGCTCAGTAATATGTTAAAATATCCAGTTTTGTGGTAAATTAGGGGGGGAAAACAATGTATACTAGATCTGCTTTTTTTGCAATTATGATACCCATTTAGATTGCTAGATAGCGCTTCACTGATCACTATCTGAGGAACTGGTAACAATAGAGTCTAAATATCATCATGACAGTCTTTCCCACTGGAAGTCATACTGTGATGTCATTTTTTTCCCTATTACTTTTAACAAATATATGGACAAAAAAACCCAGAAAAATTAGTGATTTGCAATTTTACATTATTACAGGTTAAGAGAGTCCTTATTTTCCAAGCTTAGCCTACTTCCTATTCAAAAAGGCAATTCAAAAGTTGTTTAGCTGCAAAAATAGCTAAGCTATACATTAATGATCACATTCAATTGAATTTAACTCAACTTACATTAATAAGTTAAATGTATGGACCACAGGATATGTATGCATATATGAATTGAACAGACACACAGCCTGAAAAATGTCAATCTTCTAAGAGATGGCTAAGGGGACAAAAGATGTATAAACAACTAGAATGTAGGGCAGCAATTATACAATCAGGGTACTCCGTAGATGCAGGGGAAAAGGTTCCTTGTGACTGAGGCAACAGCCCAATGCTACCTTGTCAACTGTCATTCTTGAAGGTTCAACTCAAATGACAACTCTGGAATGAAGCCTTCCACACTCGTAACAACCTCCTGTCTGTGTGGCTGAATTTCATTGATAATACTTTCATTATAGCACAACACATTCATTGTACTGGAGTTGTTTACATGTTTGTTTTCCCATTCGCCTGAATACATCAGGAACAAGGGCTGGTATATAGCAAGTATTAGGTATTAAGCCAAGAAATGCTTATTCTGTTAGCATAGGGAAACATGATCATGTGGTCTTTAAAGGAAACTAGGAGGCAGAACGTGTATGGTTTCAGGTTCCTGGGAGTATACTATTGTCTACTCTAAACCACATAATGTGTTAGAATTATCAAGAGACGAACAATCTGGTATTCTCATCAGTATTCAGGATATATGTAATATTCAGTTTATTGTATGTTATCATTTTCAATGAAAAAGAATAAAATCTGGCCATATATCTTCTACTCTATTATTTTTTTACAGAGAGTAAGGGAGAGGACTAGAATTAGAAACATCAATGAAAAAGAAACATTGATCAGCTGCCTCCTGTATAACCCCTACTGGGGATCGAGCCTGCAACCATGCCCTTGACTAGAATGGAATAGGGACCCTTCAGTCCGCAGGCAGATGCTCTACCCACTGAGCCAAACCCATTAGGGTTACTCTATTATTATTTTTATTTTTAATAGTTTTTCTATTAGGCTCTAGCCAGTTTGGCTCAGTTGATAGAGCTTTGGCCTGCGGACTGAAGAGTCCCAAGTTTGATTCTGGTCAGAGGCACATGCCCTGGTTGTGGGCTTGATCCCCAATGGGGGGCATCCAGGAGGCAGCTGATCAATTAATCAATGATTCTATCTCATCCTTTATGTTTCTATCTTCCTCTCCCTGAAATCAATAAAAATACATTAAAAAAAGAATTAGGAAAAAATGTAGCTCATAGTTAGTCCTTAATAAATATTTATTGACTCAAGGTAGGCAAAAAGTATTAATAACTATGGTGAACTGTAACACTAAAGAAAAACAATCACTAAGGGGCCCACTGCATGGTTTCAGAAAGGCAAAAACTATTTTTTCTGACCAGGAATACCACTTAGGTCTACTTTCCTGTATTTAAAAGCATTCAGCATATTTCACATTTTTAATTATTTTAATTTAGGCTATCTTCAAAAGAAACTTAAATTTGGAGTTATGTAATTGCTACAGCTATGTCTGGTTAGTTAGGTTTTTAGTGCGGTGAACTCAGTCAGCAGTTTGCTTCCCTACATGTTGTAAATTTCCTATCCCTTTCCACTGTGGTATACTGTGCCTCAATCTCAGTCAACCCAACTGAAACATGAGAAAGATGACTTCTGAAGTACATTTAATACATATGTCATGGGAGAAGGAAAAATTACAGGACAACAAGCTAATTCATTCAGCAAACACTTCAAAAGGTATTGGCGATCTAGAAATAAAAAATAACTAAGATAAACTGCTAACTGTAAAACTATCATAAATATCATTGCTAAAATGACCTATTTTCTAGAAAAAAATATTCCCATTCCAGACACTAAAATCATCGAGCTGTACACTTTAAATGGGTGACTGTTACATTATGTGAATTATATATTGTAAAACTTTTAAAAAACTAAATCATAGGTTCTTCTTTATAGGAAACTTTTAAGCTTTTTAAAAAACTGTGTTTAAGTACATCAAACTATTTTCTTTTTTTTTAAATATATTTTATTGATATTTTACAGAGAGGGAGAGAGATAGAGAGCTAGAAACGTCAATGAGAGAAAAACATCGACCAGCTGCCTCTTGCACACCCCCTACCGGGGATGTGCCCACTACCAACGTACATGCCCTTGACGGGAATTGAACCTGGGACCTTTCAGTCCGCAGACCGACGCTCTACCACTGAGCCACACCGGGTTCGGCAAATGTACCATTTTCTAAGTGTACCGCTGAGTGGTATAAAGTGCATTCACACTGATAAGCAACATCTTCACCATCCGCCTCCAGAACTCTCTGCACCTCCCCAAAATGACAACGACCCCATTACACAATACTCCCGCCCACCCTCCAGGCCCGGACGTTAGCCCTAAGCTGCCCGCGCCCAGGGTGCGGTGTCCTCACCAGGTTGTGAATGACGTTCGTTAGGGTCCAGGCCACGGGAACGCTGAAGAAGGGGATGCTGAGCAGCACGATGTGGAGCAGGCCCACGCCCAGGGCGTAGGTCAGCCAGATCCCGCGGCTGTTCATGACGCGGGTGTTGGGGTTCACCTCGCTGTGGGCCACGCCGACGTTCATGTTGGCCCTGCAGGAAAGCAATGGAGTGGATCAACGCCGGCATCACTGGAAGCCGGATAACCCCAATCTGACCCGATAAAATACGCGTGAACCAGGGTGCTGCTTTCTAGTTGTTCTGAAATAGAACAAGCACACCCTCTCGAATATGCCACTTGCAGATGCTGACAAAGGCAGTAAGGAATTCCTGCCATCTGGCTTCATGGTGAGACAAACGAGAGTTGCTTTTATAGCTCTTGTGGGGGGAAAATGAACAGTTAAAACCCTTTCCTACAACGTGTCTTCTGGCATGTTGGTTTTACTAAATGAAATAATGGGCAGGAAAACTCAAACAGAGAGAGAACCTGCATTTTCTCATGTCATGAGGGCAACGTGAAAACCTCGGAGCTAAGTGTGTCAACAGAATCAATGAACACAAAGGAAGCAAAGCTGACCCAGGCTCCGTCTGACGTCATGCGGTCCCCACAGGGCCTCGGGGCTCCAGCCCTCCCTCCCCAGGAGGAGCCCGGGGAGCCGGGCCTGGGGCGGGCAGGTCCAGGGATGGGGCTTTTCCACCCCGAACGGCTTAAGTCCAGCCCGCCCGCTCCTCCCTCCTCCGCCAGCTTTCCCTTTCCCTCCGGCGTCCCCGGCACAAAGGAAGAGCTGACCCTGCTCCCGTGTTGCCGGGTCTGGGACTCCCCTAGACCAACAAGCTGTGCAGAAAGCCTGTGGCCCCGGAGGGACTACGCCTTCCTGCCACCGAGGGGCTCCCTCCCAGCCCGGCCCGGAGCCCGCGGCCCCTCCTCCCAGCACAGCCGGGAAGCCGGGAGGAGCGCTCCCCGCCGCGGCCTCCGGCCCCGCTCCCGGGAAGCCGCACTCCCCGCGGGGGGAGCTCGGAGGACGCACCGAGCGCGCCCGCCCGGGAGGCCCGGCCCAGCCTTTCCGGGGCGGCGGGACGGGCTTCACCCCCGAAAGCCTCTCCGCGGGACCGCGTGTGCGGGAGGCCCCGCAGCCCCCGAGAAGACCGGCTCCGCGATCGCCGCCGCCGCCCCTTTCCTCCCGGAGCCGCACGTCCGTCACGGCGAGGCCCGACGACACGTCCCGGGTGCGAGCCTCACTGCGAGGCCGCTCGGGCCGCCCCGCCAGCCACAAAGGGCGCGCGCCCACCTGCTCCCGGGGGCCCGCCGCCCGCCGCAGCCCGCTCCGCGGCCGCCGTCCGCTCCCGCTCACCCGCCACTCGCCCCGCGGCGTCGCGTGTCCGCGCAGCCGGCCCCTGAGCGGCGCAGCCCGGCTCAGCCCGGCTCAGCTCCCGGAAGCGCTCGGCGCCGGACGCGCTGCCCGCGGATTGGCTGCGGGCGGTGCCAATCCCTCGTTCCCGGGGGAGGGGGCGGACTAGGGCCACGCGCCTGCGCGCGCCGAGGCGAACCCGGCGTCCTGAGGCCGGCGGGCCGCGCGCGGACGTCGCGGTGGCGGTCAGCGCCCACGTCGCGCGAGCCGGAAGGTAGTGTCGCGTGGCCCGCGGGCCTCCCCGTGTGTTCTGGGCTCGGACCCCCTCCCTCAGCTCCGAGCGCCAGCGCCCCCCCAGGCGCGACGCGGCGGGAGCGGGCGCACGGGCGCGCAGGCCCGGCGGTCGGGCTCGCGGTTAGATGGCGCCCGGCCCGCCGGCTGGGCGTGCGGGGGCCTGCGGGCAGCCGGTGCCGCGGCCGCGGGCGTCGTTGGCCGGGCCCGGGTGGCCTAGCGGGCGGCGCGGTGTAAGCTGCGTGGCGCCCGGCGAGCGGGCGGGGAGCTCCTCCCGGAGCCGCTTTCCCGCCGCCGGGCCCCGCGTCCCCGCCCACGGGCCCCTCCCGCCGCCGCCGGGCCCGGGGTCCCCGCCCACGCTGGGAGGGTAGGGGAGGGGGCGGGCGGAAGCCTCGGTGCCCCCGAGGACCGGCGTGGGAACCAAGGGGCTTTGGAGCCAAGATTTGAACGAATTGCATGAGGGCAGCGCGCAAAGCCTGAGGGCGCTGTCCGCAGCACGTGGAAGGGGTGTGAGGACGTGTTCTCTCTCTCTCTCTCTCTCTATATATATATATATATATATTATATATATAACATGTATGTATATATACACACACACCCTTGCATTCCCGTCGGCTCCGTGGGCAGTTGTGCCGGGCTCCCTGTGGTGGTTAAAGAGCCACTTCGCTGTGTTGGCCTCCGATGCTGCTTCGTGTCCGGCCAGCGCTCCTCCCTGAGGCCAGGGGTGCGTTCCCCCCCGCACCCCGCACCCCGCACCCCGCACCGGTGCAGGCTGACCCCTGCGGCCCCCGGTTCCGGGCCATACCCGCCCCTGCAGGTTTCAGGAGGTGCAGGCGGGTCAGGCCAGGCTCGGGCCAGGCTCTCGGCGTTCCAGGGCTTACGCGGAGGGTGTGAGGTGAACACCTCTGCCCGCGGGGAACCCGAGCCCGACGGAGGTGCAGGAGCGGCGGCTAGAGGACCGGGGTGCGTCGGGTTGGAAGCGGGAGAGGCGCGGGGGTAGCGGGAGAGGCGCGGGGGTGGCGGGAGGAAGCGGTCCGGTGGGGGCGGGGCTGGCGCTGCAGCTGGGAGCGGTGAGGCGGGGAGCCGGGGGAAAGCGGGAAAGCAGGCTTCCGCGCCTGGGCCGCGAGGTCCCCATCGCCCTGTACGCGCGCGCCCGCGCGTGGTGTTTTGCGGAAGAGCCACACTCACGGGGCCAGAGAGCCGCACGTGGCTTACAGGCCACAGTTTGGTGACCGCTGGCCTAGGTGATAGGCTCTGATGTCTACAAGGGGGTTACTGCAAAGTAGGAGGGAGCGATTTTGAGGGGCTGACCAGGCAGTAGCTGTGGCCGTAGGTTTAGGAAGGGGAGGACTCCTTGGAGGACTATTTAGGTCGTAGGAGAGAGAGGACTTGGTGGCAGGATGTGGAGAGTAAGGAGCGTTCCTAGGGTGGCCGCACGGTTTCTCATCTTGTGAGAGGAGCGTGGCCTTTGGAGTCAGACATGCCCAGGTGCTCCGGTGTGTGCTGTCTGTGTGATCGTGAGGCATTGAGGCATTCTTCATTATTAAATTTTTTTCCAAGAAGAAAGTTTTGCAAAGAACGAAACAAATGGTAATCGGAAGGGGCAATTTCAGGAGAATATGCAGGTTGAGGGAGAACTTCCCATTCCAACTGGCGCAGTTTTTCAGCAGCGATTCTTGCAGTATGCGGTCGTGCGTTATCCTGGTGAAGAATTACGCCCTTCTGATTAATCAGCGCGGGTTCTTTTTCTCTTAAAGCTTGGGCTAACCTTTCCAATTGGGCACTATACACTGCACTTGTAATGGTTTGGTTAGATGGTAAAAGTTCATAATGAAGAATTCCTTTAAAATTCCACCAAACACACAACATCACTTTTTTCGCATGCAAGTCAGATTTTGGCGTGGGCTGCAGAGCTTCATTTTTGTCCAGCCATTGAGGCCGCCTTTTCAAATTAACATACAGCACCCATTTTTCATCTCCTGTAACAATTTGTTCTAAAAACGGCAAACGGTTTTGACGAGAGAGGAGCGAACTGCAAATTGTGACTCTTTGATTACGGTTGTTGTCGGTCAACTCATGAGGAACCCATTTTCCAAACTTGGACTTTGCCAAGTGCACGCAATTGATTGGAAATTGTATTTTGTGAACAATTTAAAGTTGTCGCAAGCTCTTGGGTAATTTGAGGATTTTGCACCAAAAGAGCTTGAAGAGCTTCTTGATCAAAATTGGACACACGGCCTCGACCACTCTTGTCATCTAACGAAAAATTTCCCTCGCGAAATTTCTCAAACCAACGCTGGCATTTTCTGGCACTAACTGCATCTTGACCAAGAGCACTACAGATGTTTTTTGCAGCCTCACTTGCTTTTCTTCCTAATTGGAACTCGTAAAGCATGCAGTGCCGAATATGCTCTTCATCCCCCATCTTCTTAGCCCTAGTTTTGCAACAAAAACCAAACCAAACACAAACTTTTTCAAGCAAAACTTGTTAATTGCACTTCACACGTTCTGTAGATACCACGTGTTTGAAGGTTATGTCAATACAAGTCAACGCCAAGCAAGATTTTAAACGGTTTAAAAACGACATTAATTATTACTAGACCCCAAATGAAACTAACCTCTAGATACAATCAGCAGGGTAAGCATCCCTGAGAAAGCACCTGCATCTGTGGTGTCTTTCAAACAGGGATGTTTTGAATTCCAAACATAAAGGTTCTGGTATAACCCCGAGGGCTCAGACTTGTTTGGAAAAGTCAGGCAGGGTGCCACCTTAGGCAAGGTCCCCCAGAAGCCTCTGGCCTTTCAGAGAATCCTCCTGACAGACTTTCCAACCATGTCCCATGCTTCCCCACAGTAATTTCAGGTTCAGGAGGTCCGAACTCCAAAAGAGCTCAGTAATTTAAAGAGATTGTAGCTCATCAAAACATGTGGGTGACTGATAGGTGTCTGTGAGACGGCCATGAAAGCACATACGAGGAACTGACATCTGCATCCCAAAGTGACACAACCCCTGGTCATTCATGGCCGGGCAGATGACAGGGCACCATGTGCCATCCTCCTTCAGTCATTGCCATGACGCGATTTCCAACTGATGCTCGTGACTTCGTCCTATAAAATGGAAACGGTCATGACATCTATTCAAAGAGTGTTTTTAAGACATAAGTTATTTAATTCTGTATGTGCTTACAGTAGATGTAGCATAGAGTGAGTCTCCATAAATGTGAGCTGCTAGTATTATTGATGTTGCTATTATTCTGTTAGGAATGCTCAAGTTTTTACTCTTAAAGCTTAAATTTTTATCTTCTAGGTACTCTACTAACAGCTAGAATGAAACAGTTACCTGCAGCAACGGTTCGCCTCCTTTCCAGTTCCCAGGTCATCACGTCAGTAGTCAGTGTTGTGAAAGAGCTTGTTGAAAACTCCTTGGATGCAGGGGCCACAAGCATAGATGTTAAACTGGTGAGTGTCCAGAGAAGCGAATACCTTTAAAGCAATAAGGGGACAGGTATTTTCTCCTTATAGCTATTACCTTCTCAGTAAACTATTCATAGGACGTTGTATCCTTTGTCTTGTTTAAGAATAAATTCTTAAAAATAAATTGTGATCTAAATCAACATTAGTAACATTAAAGGACATTATTAAAAAAACACAAAAATTTCATATTTAGGACTGCATTACATGAATTAATTTGTATTTTCTACTAATAATTTATTCTAGGTTATTGATATATGCTATACTTATTTATATATTCTTATTTGCATTTAAAAATATATATTTTATTGATTTTTTAGAGAGGAAGGGAGAGGGATAGTTAGAAACATCAATGAGAGAAAAACATCGATCAGCTGCCTCCTGCACACATCCTACTGGGAATGTGCCCAAAACTGAGGTACATGCCCTTGACTGGAATCAAACCTGGGACCCTTCAGTCTGCAGGCCCATGCTCTAGCCACTGAGCAAAACCGGTTAGGGCTGCATTTTATTTTTTACCTAATCTAATTTCAAAACTATTTCCTTTGTTGCTTCATGGTTTTCACATTTTTTAATTTAAGTGCTCTATATTAAGTAATTTGAGTTAACATGACATGACACTCATGATTAATTAATATAGTTATTTTGCATGTCTACCTCTCCTGTTATAAATTACTAGCTCATAGGCGTGTATATATATATATATATATTTTTTTTTTTCTTTCATTTTTTGTGTCCCTCTACCTGGCCAGTCCTGCTACATAAAAGATGAATAAATGGTATATAAATAGTGCATAGATAGTGAATAAAATTTTGTTTGAGTGAATGAATACATTTTTATAGTTTCCTAATTATCAGATATTTACATTATTTCTACTATTACAGTATTAGAAGTAATACTGGTACTAATATCTTTGTAGGAAAGAAACCTACCTTTTTCTTGTGTGTAATTATCTATATATATAAAAGCCCAGTGACTGGACTGGTGGAATGATCAAAATGACCCGTGGCTGTGAGGTGCACTACGCAGCCAACTAGCATGATCTGGTCCCCAATCAGGACTGGATTCAGTCTTGATTAACCCTTAGGCAAATGTCCACAGGTGTGGTGAGAGTTTTTCCAATAGGGTGGGGCAATTGCTTCTGCCAGGAGGCTAATTGTTATTTTCAGTCTCTTAATGGATCTCTGAAACTCCATTCCAAGGGCCAAAGTGTATTACAATAGGGTAAGTCAGCTGTCTTCTCCCCAGGCAAAATCACCTGTATCTATGCAGTTTTGGAAAACAGTTTTTCAAAGTCATGTTACCCAAGAGAGAGGGAGATCAATGGGCAAAAAAAAAGGAGACATATATAATACTATATGTAATATTTTAAACAATAAAGAATTTTTTTTCAAATATATTTTATTGATTTTTTACAGAGAGGAGGAGAGAGGGATAGAGAGCTAGAAACGTCGATGAGAGAGAAACATCGACCAGCTGCCTCTTGCACACCCCCTACCGGTGATGTGCTCACAACCAACGTACATGCCCTTGACCGGAATCGAACCTGGGACCTTTCAGTCCGCAGATCGACGCTCTACCACTGAGCCAAACCAGTTTCGGCAATAAAGAATTTTTTTAAATGTCATGTTATAAAGCCAATTGAATTCCTCTTGAAAGTAAATGTTTACTTTCATTTATTACTTTCAAAAGTAAATGAAAGTACACATTTTTAACTGGCTATGTATTTTAGTCCTTTGAGATTTATCATCTTTTTTTGTAGTTGTTTGCTTTGTAGAGTTTTTAAATAACTGTGTTGCTATAGGAAATAAGTCTTGTTTTATTATGGTTTCATGCAATAATAACTATACTGGCTAGGAATGTTTTCCTAATTAGTTAAACAGGTAATACTTTTTGAAACATTTAAGTGGATCTTTGTGTTCTTTTTCTCAGATGACTAGAGTTCTTACTTATATTTAAAGATTTGCATTTCTTTAGTCAATGATTTTCTATTAAAAAAAAAAAACAGACCAGCTCTTCCCAGGATAATTTAATTTTAAATTGGAAAGAGCTGAGAAACTAAATTTGGGTGTCTCCCCCCAGTGCCTTTCATATATATTTTATCTAAAAAGTACTGGCATAAAAATATTAAATAATTTTAGGTTATTGAAAAGATGTGATACCATTTTAAATACCAGAGTCATTATAAATGTAGGAAGATTTTTTTCCCCCCTTTAAAACTTGCATCTATGGCCATACACATAAAACTTTGTGAAGTCAAGTTTATCTTAGAAGTTTAGTACAAAATTTAGATTGTAGCATTCATAGAAAGTGTGATCACTTTAGCAATTTAGAATTTTTTGTTATTTATACATATTTTCAGTATTAGCTAATAGTGCTAAGCTATGAATTGAGAGTTTTTTCCCCTTGATTTTTCAAATTAAAAACTCACTGAGATTGCCAAAGTAGGTGTGTTTTCTTAGCAGTTTCCTGTTAGGTAACTATGCAGAAAGAAATTTAAAGTTGTAGTGTAAATATTTAAACTTCTTTTTTAAAAAAAATATATTTTATTGATTTTACACAGAGTGGAATTAAGAGGGACTGAGAGATAGAAACGTCGATGAGAGAGAAACATCGACCAGCTGCCTCTTGCACCCCCCCCCCCACTGGGGATGTGCCCACAACCAAGGTACATGCCCTTGACCGGAATTGAACCCGGGACCTTTCAGTCCGCAGGCCGACGCTCTATCCACTGAGCCAAACCGTTCGGCATATTTAAACTTCCTATTGAAACGAGTAAAGGGATAAAGTATTAAAAATCAGGTTGAATAATGGTAATTGCTAGACTCTTGGTGGGTGTTGTTTTTGATGGTTATCGTATTTTGTTTGAGAAGTTTACATGTATAACGGTATTGGTAATTGAGAAGAATTTTCTTTAGTCAAGTTTAAACACAAATTTAAACATACATACCTATGACACGGAGACAATTCAAGGGAACCTTAAGGATCAGACTGATTTTTCTGATTTTACAGTTGAATCTGAGTCCTGGGAAAATGAGGGACTTGCCCATTGTACCATAACTGGGAGTTAGTAAACGTAAGGAATTAAACTCTTACTTCCTTAAGATTAAGTTTCCCTGAAAGGTAAATAAATGACAATGTTATTTCACTTATGTTTCTCTTTCTAAATGTTGTAACAGTTTAATGTCTTTATGTACTAAAAGTATTTTTAACTTTGTATAGGAGAATTATGGATTTGATAAAATTGAAGTGAGAGACAATGGTGACGGTATCAAGGCCTCTGATGCACCTGTAATGGCAATGAAGTCCTACACCTCAAAAATAAACAGCCACGAAGATCTTGAAAATTTGACAACTTATGGTTTTCGTGGTGAAGCCTTGGGATCAATTTGTTGTGTAGCTGAGGTAAGGTAATTTATACTACCTTCGTGATTTTATTACAGAATATTAGAAGTGAGACAAAACTAAGCCAGCAGAGTGGTGTGTGTGTGTAAAGGGCCCCAGCTGGGTACTCATTTATTATTTTTTCTGAGGGCTCTCTGTGAAGTGATGCCTCAGAAAGAAAAATTGTGGAGCAGGGGTTCCCAATGTGGGGCACATGCCCCACAGGGGGGCAATTTGAATTTTAGGGGGGCAATTCAAGAATGAGTTAATAGTGAATTTTTGGCATTTCTTAAGCTTCTAGGGGCCTCATATTAATGTATATTGTGACATAATTATGCACTTCAGTTCTCTGTAATATGTTTTAAAACTTTGCCGTTTTTCATATCACTTCATATTATTATTATTTTCTTAAACAATTCCTTAGTGATTTCTTTCTCAGTACTTCAACTGTCCTTTTTTCGTTCTTTTATTTTTCTCTTTCATGGTGCCATGTTCTTTGAAAGCTTGTTTAGAGCAAGTTTGTGGCCTTTTAGGCTTCCTTCCTGTGACTAGGAGCTCACTTTTTGAATAATAAGAATTGTATGTCACAGGGGGACATTGGGATTTTAGAGATGCTTAGGTGGAACATGGCCAAAAAAAATTGGGAACCTCTGAGGTGGAGTTTAGAGTGGCCGACATTGCTGTTTAGCATAGAGGACTATGAGTGAGCCCTTGCTTGGAAGCCAGGTGTTCAAACATCACTAACGGAGGGAATACCTTGTCATTCCTTAAATGCACCCTGCTTAAAACTTCTATCCCGAAACCAGCACAGCCCATAGCCCATGCTTTCTGTTATTTACTTAGAGTTCCCTGAGTCTCCAAAGAGGAGGGAAGAGTAACTTACAATTGGCATTGCCCTTCATTTTCCCCAGAGACTGTATATGGGAACCCAGAGCCCTAGGATCTTGCAGAAAACCGTATAAAGTGGGATGGGATTTGTACCAGGGAACTTCTGAAGCTCCCAGTACTACTACTATTGTTTAAGCTCTCAGTGGCTATTTTAGAAATCATATAATTTGTTTGATAACATAAGTATTTGATTTTTTTTAGCTGTTGTCCAAATTTTGCAAGTAGTCTTTAAGCTTTATTTTAGTATTGTTGAAAAATATATAATTTAGTATTTCATTATTTTTTTGAGATGTACATAACTTTGCAGAACGGAAATCAGTCATTATTAGCTTTGTCTGCTAGGTGGCAGCACTATACTTACACATAGGCCATATGGTTTATCTTCATCTACACTGCAGCTCTGATTTTAGATGGCTGTTTTGCAAGCCCTTATCCAGTAGCACTCTCTGTTTTGTTTTTTTCCTTTATTTGATTACTTGAACCTACTTGATACCTGTTTATCATTTTGTCTTTTGTTTCATTTTTTGAGGCATTTGAATGCCTTGAATATAAATACTTAAATAAATTTGTTCATCAGAATTACAAAAGGAGTAAAAGAATTGTCCAAGTATCACAGTAATATAAAATTATACACTTACATACATGCACACACACATCACAATGAATTTTTACATATATGTCCTCCAGATCCAGATTTAGACCATTGTCTGCACTCCTGAAAGTTCTTAAATGCCCCCTCCCGGGCTGCACTCCTCAAAGTAATCGCTATTCTCACCTGTATCAACATAGTCCTACCTATTTTTGAACTTGATTTAAATGAAATCTTACAATATGTATTATTTTTGCCGCAGATTTGTTGTTGTGCCTGAAAGCCAAAGGAAATACAGAACCGTGGTGGTGGTGGTAATAGACCCGTAGGTATTTCTGGGTGGTAGTACTGCCCAGACACCCCGTCAGGAGAGCACGGGTTCTCCCAGCTCCCGGGAGCACTGCTGACGGAGTGCTCACAGCAGTCTCCCTCTGAGGCTGCCCCCCTCAGTGGGAGAGAGTTTCCGAAACATGCAGGGCACCTGCGTCAGTGATTGCGGGCTGGGCTGTAAAGGCCCCATTTCAGCTGCACTCCACCCGCCATGCTGTCGGCCCCGGAGTGCCCGCGGGCCCCACCAAGGCCAGTGACTGTGCCCCCCCACTTCCTGCACTGGCCCCACGGAGCACTCCTATCAGTGTCCTCCTCACTGGCCTCCGACTTTAGTCTGCTCCATGTGGAAGCCACCCTGCAGTGAGGTTTCATGGTTCCGTCCCTAATCCTGATACGGAAACGGGTCTTGTGAACAGGCCAGTTCCCACCCACCTTCAGAGCAGGCTAACAGCCGCCAGCTACTGCACTGGCTGAATGCGCGGGCTGTGCGAAGAAGTTCGCTTCGGAGGAGCTGCGCAGAGGGGCAAGTGGAGCACGAAAATTGCAGCCTCTTTTTTTTTTTTTTTAAACATTTTATTGATCTTTTACAGAGAAGAAGGGAGAGAGATAGAGAGCTAGAAACGTCGATGAGAGAGAAACATTGGCCAGCTGCCTCCTGCACACCCCCCACTGGGGATATGCCCGCAACCAATGTACATGCCCCTGACCAGAATCGAACCCGGGACCTTTCAGTCCACAGATGGACGCTCTACCGCTGAACCAGACCGGTTTCGGCAAATTGCAGCCTCTTTAGGAATACATGGTGTGTTGATGGTGAAACCAGTAATTTAGTTCCAATATCATGCTTCCCACTGCTGAGTTTTCCACAGTAGGTCATGCTGCCGTCTTATTAGGGTGGTTAAAAAGGCATTTCTAAGTGAAAAAGTATCTCATCTATACTAGTAAAAGGATAATATGCTAATTAGACCAGATAGGCTGGACATCCTTCCAGATGTCCTTCCGGACAAAGCCATGGTGGTAGGGCCGAGATAGAGGCAGTTAGGGGCGATCAGGCCAACAGGGGAGAGCAGTTAGGGACAATCAGGCAGGCAGGCAGATTGTTTAGGGGTGATCAGGCAGGCAGGCCGGCCGGCAGGCCAGCAGGCCAGCAGTTAGGATCAGCCATTCTGGATCGTGAGAGGGTGCAGGCCAGGCTGAGGGATACGCCCCCTCACCCCTTCCCCACCCCCCGCCCACACAAATTCCGGGCATCTAGTATTTAAATAATAAATATCCCAGGCCTGCAGTGGTAAGCTCAAAAGATAGGTTATCAAGAAGAAGTTAAGTTGAAACTTAACGTGGGAATGTTCTGAATAGTGTTTTAGAAATTTCAGAAATACAGAAAACAATAAATGCTTGTTAAGGTCAATTACATTTAAAAATAATGAAGTTATTCAGGAAGACTTAATGATTGCTTTTGTGGGGGGATTCGCTTCTCAAATTTAATGAATATTCTTCACTCAGAATTCAATTTCATTAATAGAAGTTGCATATTTATTTTAAGGCTCCAATTTATTTTGAAAAATTTTGGATAGAGATTGCTGTTATTATATTATTATATTATTGCAGAAATTATAGATTTTGTTATTTTATCTGCCAAACTGACAGATGCAGATAATTTTAAAGTCATACAGTTGTAAATGATCTCAGGCTCAGTAGATTGATAATACAGGGTGGGGCAAAAATAGGTTTACAGTTGTGAGTATGTGAGAGTTTATTCTTGTATTATTTATTTATTACTGCTATTTTCCATATGAACTATAAAATTACTTTTGCCCATCCTGTATGTAATTAGGTTAATGTTTTGCACAATATTAAACAGCTATTTCCCAAAACTCCAGTTATTGAAATTATTTTTTGTTAGATTATTTTAAAGATGTTAATAATTTTAGTCCTGGCCAGGTGGCTCAATTGGTTGGAGCATTGTCCTGTACACCAAAAAGATAGTTGATTTGATTCTTGGTCAGGAAATCATACCTAGGTTGTGAGTTCGATTTCTGGTTGGGGCATGTACAGGAGGCACCGATTGATGTTTCTCCCTTACTTCAATGTTTCTCTCTTTTTCTCTCATCCTCTACCCCCTTCTCTCTCTCCTCACCCTTCTCTTCTCTCTCTAAAATCAATAAACATATCCTTGGGGGAGAATAAAAAATAAAAATAATATGTTAATTTTAGTTATAGAAAGAAAAAAGTATACTTTCAGCAAATTGTCTGGAGAAATTTAAAATACACCTAATTTTATATTCTTTATGCACTGTAAAAAAATGAGCATTTTTTTAGTTTATCAATAATAAAATGACTTTCACTCTTAGAATTAAATAGTCCAAAGGAGTAAAACATTCTCTTTATATCTACAAAATATCCTCTTGGTATTTTCAAATGTATTACTAAACCCATAACCATTAATGTATCAATGATTGGCACAAATTGTCTGATAATGATTTTCTTTAAATGATATCAAGCATAACTTCTCTTGAAATACATTATTGTTTGTAGAGTAGTAATTTTGGCATATTTGTCATTTTTTTTTTTTAATATTTTATTGATTTTTTACAGAGAGGAAGAGAAAGGAAAAGAGAGTTAGAAACATCTATGAGAGAGAATCATTGATCAGCTGCCTCTTGCACACCCCCTACTGGGGATGTGCCCGCAACCAAGGTACATGCCCTTGACAGGAATCGAACCCAGGACCTTTCAGTCCACAGGCTCTTTGTCATTTTTCTATGTTAAATTTCTGCTCCTAATTACTAAGCATACCAAATAGATGAGCTAGAGAATGAAAATTCTGTTTTGACCTGTTCATACAATTTTTATGAAGACTGTATATATTATTCCTGTAACATAATAAAACATAAGTATTTATTTCTTTATAAGTAGGTATTTTACATACATTATATTAAAAATGATCTTTTTTCCTCCAAAGAAATGTTTAAGAAACTCATACAAGTTGTTTTTGTTTTTTTTAACTGGATTTTAAAATGGAGGCTAAATTATACCTGTTTTAAAAAGACTACAGAGCCAGGACCAGTTTGGCTCAATGGATAGAGCGTTGGCTTGGGGACTGAAGGGTCCCGGGTTCGATTCCGGTCAAGGGCATGTACCTTGGTTGCGGGCATATCCCCAGTAGGGGGTGTGCAAGAGGCAGCTGTTCGTTGACTCTCTCTCCTCGATGTTTCTGGTTTTCTATCTCTCTCCCTTCCTCTCTGTACAAAATCAATAAAATATATTTTAAAAAATAAATAAATAAAAAAGATAAAAAGACTACAGAACAGTTTTGTTTTCTTAAAATCAGAACAAACTCCCGACTAGGAATCAGAAACCTAATTCTCTCTTTTTTTAAAAAAATTTTTATTGATGAAGGTATCATATATTTGTCCTCAATCCCCCACCCCTCCAAAAACCTAATTCTCATTCCCAAGTGTTTGAATAAGAGACTTGGTTGGCCAAAGGCATAAAACAGGTTACCTTTTCTGAGTGCCTTTTTATTTTTTTAATCTATAAAGTGATGATAATTTGAGGGTCAAAGGAAATAATGCGTATTAAAGTGTCTTGCATATTGTCCTATGCCATTCAGCGGAAGTTCTTTCTACTCTGGACATGGTATGCAGCTGTATCATAGGTGATGTTATTATTAGTCTTCCTCCTTCCCTTGTTGACAAGCATTATTTCACATCAACTTTCAAAGTTAATCAAACTCCTCAATATCTGGGGAAAACCCTTTCTAAAATTTTATAGCCGTTCCTAGGGAGATTCCTTCTAATTTTCAAGAAGGCTTTTATTTTGTTGCATAAATTCACGTTTTTCCTTTTGGTTTTCCCTCAGAAGAATTAGAATTGCCAGCCATGCTCTGCATAATACGCATGTTTATTGATTTATTCAGCCAACATTTCTTAAAGAAGTTTCAGTGTGCTGGGTATTACTCTCATCAAGTGCATGTCTGTCAAGTTCACCAAACATAATTTTGTGATGAGCTAATGTGGGATCTGTAGACTGTTACAGTCTTATATTACATTACACCCCCACGGCGGACTGGGGACAGGACGGGAGCGAGCTGTTCTGTGTGGAAGTGGAGACTCCCTGTAGGGCCGCTGAGCTGGAAGAGGCTGGGGGCAGCCCTGCTCTCACCCTGGTCTTCCTGCCTCCGCTCCAGAGGCCGGTGCCGCGTGTCCTGTAGAGGGGGGCGGAGGGCGGAGGGCTTTGGTTAGAGCAGGCCCAGGATTTAAGATTCTGCTTCTAACACAGCCTCCGCACAGGTACAGAGCCCTGCTCAAAGTGAAGACGTCAGAGGCAAAGCACTGTGCTTTTCTTCCACAGTGAAGGGTCTGGGAGAGGGCTCTGGCGTCAGAGCCTCTGCTAGCTGCAGCCCTGCAGGCAGCCATGCCGGCAAAGCCCGCATTTCAGTTCAATTACGAGGATCATTAACTTGAGTTTTCAGAGCGTGTTCCTGTGTGGCATTCTGCCAAGTTAGTAAAAACAAAATTTATGACATAATTATCTTAAATTTTTGTCAAGAAGGATTTCTTTGTATGAATTACCAGGATATATTCTAAGTATTTAATTTACATTTTATCTAAAACATTGAGAAAAATTGTGCTTAGCTAAACTGTAAATGATTTTTTGTAACTTTAGCTTTGTAATAGTACTATAATTTCTTGAAATTCCATAACTGAACCAGAATTAATTTTTAATAACTGGAAAGTAATAAACCGCTAAAATCCTCTAAGAACTTCTAAAACTTCGCCTTTTATAATAAACTTCTTTTAAAATTATTTGAATACATCTTAAAATTTCTTTTGCTAACACCACTAGATTCATTCACTGCCTCAGTTCCTCAGTATCTCCAGTAAGAGGCACCAGTAATAATTTGTAATATTCGAGATGCTTCTGAGGTGGAGTTACTGCGGGTTCAAATGCTAGCTACTGGGCTGCTAACACATTCTGAACCTGGGCCTGGTCCAAGAAAAGGGTTCTTGCCCAGGACACAGGGTCATATGATGAAATGAACTCTTGAAATACAATTCCTTCCTCTGAAGAACACACTGTATTTCATGAATTTGTGAAACATGCTTATACGTTTTATCCTTCACTGCCTTCAGTAGTGAGTTGTAGACTATTTCCTAGCTAAATAATTTTCCATAGTACCCTGCACATTCTAATTTTTTAAATGTTAATGTTGGAAATAACATTGTGTTCTGTTTTTTTACTTTAACATAAATGTTACATTATGACCTCTTAGGTCCTATTTTGCCTTTCAGTACTTCAATTTATTCATCTAGGCTGGAATATATTTACTATTCATTAATGTTTTGAAGATGAACAAGTAATATCTGTGAAGTGCTTTGACGTAGTTGAAGCAAAAACCCGTGTAACCTTATAAAGTATTAGCATCATCTTCATCTTATCATCACCCTCCCCTTGAAGATGATAGTGTAATTTATTCGGGACTATCTAGCAAGCCACTGGCAGAGTTAGTACTAGAACTCAGAGTTCCAGGGCTGCCTTTGCTCAGTGACACCAACCTGAGGTCAGGTGGCAGCTCTTTGGAGAATAGAAATAGAATTCAGTTGACCTTGGCATTTTGGAGAAGTGGTTGGTTAAATGGAGAATTGTTTTTAAAGGGATAATCATAGAGTAATTAGAGACAAAGAAAATCTCTAGCAGTGTGTCTTCTTTATTTTGATAAACTTTACTAGAAGATATCACTTTTGGGCACAGTGAAGTTGTGACATAGCAGGAAAACTAAGATTAATTATCAGGGAAAATTTTAAATTATACAACTTTTGAACCATGGAATATATTTTTGGAAGAAGTAAAATAATTGCATTAGATGATTAGAGAATAGTTATCACAGAAGTAGCAGCTTTGGAGCAATTCCCCTAGTCAGGATTTTATAGATACCACCTCGTAGCCTGAACTAGTACTGACAGCTAGAAAAGCTATACTGTTTTCATTGGGACTTTGCAATTGTGTGCAGGCTACCCACATGTGCCACAGAGCCATGTTGCCTACAGTGCATGAGTGCATGGCTAGCTAGTACAGGGTGACAACCTCCAGATGTACACTCAACTGGACCTAGTTGACTTCTAGCAGCGAACCTGGCTTTTTCCTTAATTATATAGGTTTGTCTAAATATATATATATATATATAAAAGCCCAATATGCAAATTGTTCCCTCAGGAGTTCGATTGCTCACTACACTAGGGGGCGGCTCAGAATGAAGGAAGGCCCCAGTTGGCCCTGATTGCTAGCCAGGCCTAGGGGTCCTACCTGTGCACAAATTCTGTGCACTAGGCCTCTAGTTTTAAGATGATCAGCTGTGCTCAGTCTAAGAATGGCTCAGAAAGATTGCTTCTGGTTTTGGGTTGGCATTGTTCACGGAAGTGTGGGGAGGCTGCCCTTTCCTGAATCCACCTGCTTTACTCCCCAGCATCCCCACTCCCCACCTATAGCATTTTTCTGGCGGGGTGTGGTGTGCTGTTGTTACACTCGCCTACTGATCTCACAAGATAGGTACACAGAAAGCTGAGGGAGCGTTTGCAGACCTGCTTCAGTTTATATTTCTATGACTGTAACATCTTAGGAAATGTTTCATACTGAATTAAATCCTTTTTTATACTTACATGTTTTAATGCTAATTTTTTTTTAATTAGTAAAAAGTTTACATTAAAACAGTGAGTTCAAAGCTTGGGTTTAAGAACAAATTAGCCATACATATGTGTTTGATTTGTTTTTATTTTTTTTATTTTTTTATTAAATTATTATCTTTGTACATATACCATTGCCCCTCCTCCCTTGTTTTTATTCTTATGAACCATTAACTTGAAATACAGAAGTGCAGGAAATGATCACCATACAAAAAGATTATTTACCAACAAAAACAAATTTTCTTAATGCGTTTGAAGTATTTCATTTTACAGGTGTAAGTCATATAATACATATAATAATAGTAGCCATTTCATGTATTACGATTTTATATGATTGTTCTATGTAGAGTAAAATATTAAAAAGTGAGTAATTTAATATAAAAATTTATAAACTGACCTATTTGTTAGTGTAACTCTAAGGAGTATTATAAAAGAAGTGGTCATAAGAATTTATTAAGTAAAATTCCTTTCAAACTTAAGTGAATATATGATTATTATTTTATTTTATTTTTTACCCCCCCCCTATGATAATTATTTTAAATATGGCTTGAGAATGAGCCCTCTGTAAAAATCATAATTTTATTAGATTTTTTTTTAAATTCCAGGTTTTAATTACAACCAGGACAGCTGCTGATAATTTTAGCACCCAGTATGTGTTAGATGGCAGTGGCCACATAATTTCTCAAAAACCTTCACATCTTGGTCAAGGTAAGAGAGTAGCTTTGTAACATGCTTTGTCTTTTTTGTCTTAATAGTTTAGTTGTTAAAAATTCAGTATATTGCTTGCTTTGGGTTTGGGCCTGATAATAGCTACTTAACTTCCAAGTGGACAGTCAGCCTGTCCTTTAGCCCCAGTCTCCTGCATACTTAGAACTGTCTCAAGAGGAACGACGTGAACGTCTTCAGACAACAACATGGATTAGTCACTCCTCTGTAAAAACTGTCAGAGCTTTGTTTTACTCTTGCTGGATTACTGTTGACTCTTTTATACATGACGGGGAATATTTTATTGATATGCCTAAAACATTATTGATTTAGTAATCAAACTAATAAACCATACCCTCAAGGTATGATTAAACCAATAATTTAAAATGTATTTATTTACAGAGATCATAAAAAATGTGCACGGTAGATAGAATAGTGTTCCCATCATTGTTTCAACAATTTTCAACTCATTACTAATGTTTCATCTAATACTTCACCCACTGCTTGCTTCCCTTTTTGTATTATTTATATCAAGTAAATATATTAATTAATTAATTAATTATTGCTATTGGTCATTTAGGGGTTTTTGTTTTTATTTATTTTCTTTATTGATTAAGATATTACGTATGTGTCCTTATTTCCCTATTGCTACCCGCCCCCCCCAACCTCCCCACTCATGCCCTCATTCCCCTGTTGTCTGTGTCCACTGGTTAGGCTTATCTGCATGCACACAAGTTCTTTGGTTGATCTCTCCCCCTTATTCCCACCCTCCCCTACCTTCCCTCTGAGTTTGATGCTCTGATCAATGCTTCTCTGTCTCTGGATCAGTTTTTGTTCATCAGTTTATGTTGTTCATTATATTCAACAAATGAGTGAGATCAGGTGGTATTTATCATTTTCCGACTGGCTTATTTCACTTAGCTCTCCAGGTCCACCCATGCTGTTGTAAATGATAGGTGTTCTTTCCTTTTTATAGCAGCATAGTATTCCATTGTATAGAAGTACCACAGATTTTTAATCCACTCATCTACTGATGGGCACTTAGGCTGTTTCCAAATCTTAGCTATGGTAAATTGTGCCACTATGAACATAGGGGTGCATATATCCTTTCTGGTGGGTGTTTCTGGTTTCTTGGGATATATTCCTAGAAGTGGGATCACTGGGTCAAATGGGAGCTCCATTTTTAGTTTTTTGAGGAAACGCCATACTGTTTTTCACAGTGGCTGCACCAGTCTGCATTCCCACCAGCAGTGCACGAGGGTTCCTTTTTTTCCGCATCTTCGCCAGCACTTGGCGTTTGTTGATTTGTTGATGACAGCCATTCTCACCGGTGTGAGATGGGACCTCGTTGTCGTTTTGATTTTCATCTCTAGGATGATTAGTGCCTTTGAACATGTTTTCATGTCTCTGCCTTCTGTGTGTCCTCTTTCGAAAAGTATTTACTTAGGGCCGTTGCCCATTTTTTCATTGGGTTGTTTATCTTTTTGTTAAGTTGTATGAGTTCCTTATAAATTTTGGAGATTATTGGAGTTAACATTGGCAAATATATTCTCCCATGCAGTGGGCTTTCTTGCTGTTTTGTTGATGGTTTCTTTTGCTCTGCAGAAGCTTTTTATTTTGATGTAGTCCCACTTGTTTGTTTTCTCTTTAGTTTTCGTTGCCCTAGGAGCTGTATCAGTAACGATATTGCTTTGGCATATGTCTGGGATTTTGCTGCCTGTGGATTTCTCTAAGATTTTTATGGTTTTGCATCTTACGTTTAAGTCCTTTATTTTGAGTTTATTTTTGTGTATGGTGTAACTTGGTGGTCTAGTTTCATTTTTTTAGTGTTTTATACACTTACTTATTTTTATTGTATTTTAATTGACATCTTGTGTTTCTAAGTATCTCTACTATTTACTTCTGAGGGGAAAATAATCTCTTTAGGCTTGTGATTCACATATCTTCTTTAATCTTTTTCTTACTGCTAACTTCTAATAGGATGTTTAAAGTTGAGAGAACATTAAAGGTATGACCTCTTTAGAGTCATGTCCAAAGGAATTATTAGATCTGAAGAGGGACTTGTGTTTTTGTTGTTGTTTGCCCCTTTTCTCCAATTTGTATTGTAAATTCATTTTTAATTTTGTGGTCTCTCGCTATAATTTATTAGTCTTTTTTTTTTTTTTAATGGTTTCTTCCTTCCAGATGTTTTTGCATGTTTGTTTTATTTCAGAGAGGGAGAAAGAGGTAGAAACATCAGTGATGAGAGAGAATCATGAATTGGCTGCCTCTTGCATGCCCCCTATGGCGGATAGAGCTCACAACCTTGGTATGTGCCCTTGACCGGAATCGAATCCAGGACCTTTCAGTCTCCAGGCCGATGTTCTACCCACTGAGCAAAACCAGCTAGAGCTCTTCTCTCCAGTTTTAATGTTAAATTATTGGATTTATTTTTTCAAATGCCTTGTCTTTCTTCATTGACATTTATTTTCTTGTACCTTAACATCGATGCCAAATTCTCCCATTCTTTTTTTTTTTAATAAATCTCCAATTAGTTACTGTTAGTTTTGCCCATTAAAAATTAACATTTTTGTATGTACATGGAGTTAATAGAAACTCCTAAGAAAACACACTAACATTTTTCTTTTCTTTTCTTTTCTTTTTTTTTAGATTAGGACACAGAGAAGGCCTTTTAAAATATGGTTCCTCTCCAGAAATGCTCTGACCCCAGTTCTTAGAAGTTCAAATTAGGAAACCATTAGGAGTTATTTGAGTGGCTGTCCTGTAGAGTACTTAAAGTAATCTAGTCACCTTATAAAACTTAAATGTATTTATTTTTATCTTATTAGTAGCCGGTCTAATCTGGATGGCCATGACTTTGCATCACTCATATTTCTCATGCTTTCTTGTATTCATCTCCATGAGAACTGTGAAATAACAGTTCTTAAATATGGAAACCTTCGGATCTTTGCCTCTTTTCTGATTGATTTTTCTTTTCTTGCTGACCTACATCTTCTACTTTTAGTGAGATTAGATATGCATAGTAAGGAATTTCTACAGTCAATTAATGAATTTGATCTTTTGCAATATTTGTTTCACCTTAAAAAACAACATTCTCACAAAGTCAGTAGTTGCTACACTAGTAGTATTTGCCTTTCAAATATCACTTTTTTCTCCTAATTACAGTTTATTGGTTAGGAAAAGATCTCAAAAAACAAGCTTATTGAAATCCACCAACACTTTCAAAAGCATTTTATGTTTATATTGCCTTAGTGCTGGTAGTTTCTGGGTGATTGAATCACGGACTCACATTTCACCACCAGCTGTCATTCAGCTTCCATTTAAATGTTTTCTGTGTAAGATAAAACTACAGTCCAACCATCTTAATTAATGCCTGTGCATTTAGGGTTCTCATAGATTAATTTCTGCTGTGGTGTAACAGCCTTACTTAGCAGTTACTCCTCATTTCATCCAATAGGATGGCACCTGTAGATAGCCTAACTGTAGGTGCAGGGACAGATTACAATTGTATCTTTTTTAAGCATTGGAAAATTTGTCACCCCTTTAAGAAGTTTATTTTAAAATGTTTAAAAATACCATGTTTCCTCGAAAATAAGACATCCTCCGAAAATAAGACCTAGCGCATGGAAAAATAAGACATCCCCTGAAAATTAAGATCTAGCGCATCTTTGGGAGCAAAAATTAATATAAGACACTGTCTTATTTTCAGGGAAATATGGTAGTTTACTGGAGATTCCAGTTCCTGTATAGGTATTAATATTTGTCTTATGGATTAATTTAGCCATTTAAAATCATTTATGTGTTTAATAACAGTATGCCATTTAAAATTCACCTTACCTTCTGTTTACTTTTAAGACATTTAAAAAATTGATAAGAAACATAAAATTTGCCGGGACCAGTTTGGCTCAATGGATAGAGCGTCAGCTTGGGGACTGAAGGATCCCGGGTTCAATTCCGATTGAGGGCATGTACCTTGGTTGCGGGCATATCCCCAGTAGGGGGTGTGCAGGAGGCAGCTGATCAATGACTCTCTCTCATCGATGTTTCTAACTCTCTATCTCTCTCCCTTCCTCTCTGTACAAAATCAATAAAATATATTTTTTTTAAAAAAAGAAACATAAAATTTAATCTTGAGCTTTTAAATTGTTTTACCAAGTACTAAATTATTTGTTTTAGTCATATCTTTTTTGTCATTCTATTATATTTGATATGTTATACTTCTATTCTCTTTACTCTAGATAATCATTATTAAGCTTCTAAATTTATTTACCCTCCTAGAAAACTTCTTTTAAAACTTCTTCTGCCATAGGAATTTCTCATATGTCAAAAGTAGGGTATTTAAAGTACTCTGATCAGGATATCTCCTTTCCCTACCCTGTTATTAGAGTAGAGCATCATGTTTTTTGTAAATCGTGGCCGTGTGTGATTGTGCATATACTGAAAGACTTTTTTCATTTGAGAATGGAATGTGATTAAATAGCTTAAGGAAACTGATATATGCAACAATCATACTTCTTTACATTAGGAATATGGATCCCTGCCTGTGTAAGTGACATAAATAGGCATCATGGGAAAATATGACGGAGCACATCACAGGCTGGGCTGGCATGCTGGTGTTTGTAGAATGTGCTAACGTTGGAGAGCTGAGCAGTTCTCTTGTAAAATATGATAGTGTACTGGGGCCTCTTCTCTATTGGCCAATATGAGTTGGTCCTTTTTTTTTTTTTTTTTTTAAGGCTATATATTTCATTTGGAATCAGCAGTTTTTTATCATTAAGTTTTATTCCAATGCATAATTCCTGGCTTATTGGTAATTTTCAATTTACTCTGAGAGGTTATTTTTAGCTGCTAAAATAATTATTTGTCAATTAACATATATTAGGTATATTGTAGTCTCTGATATATAACATACATTTTAGCATATTTTTTTCTTTTCATAAACATTTTGCCCTACTGATTTCTCCCTGCCTTCTTCCTTCACACCATCTATTCACAGATACAGTATATGTCCTTACATTTGTCACAGGAACTCACTAGTGGAGAGCACAGATGAGTAAATAAGTAATGACAGTTCAAAGTAGCCACCAGCTGCCAAGAGGAAAGTTAGCAAAATTTTCAGAAAAGAACATCTGAATTTGAAAATGGTAGGTCAGAAGGGATTGAAGTATAACTTTTCAGCAAGATGGATGTAGAAGATTTCAAGAGACCATTGCTCTCTATTTAGCAAAGAGGAGAATGCACATAATTTTAAAAACTTGTATTGTTTAAAAACCATTGAAGAACTGTCACCAAGAAGTTTAAATGAATGAAGTTCCAGAGAAAGGGGACCCTTCCCTAGACAGGAAGAAACTAGTGGCCACTGGCATCCCTGGGAGCATTGACTGAGACTGGAGGCATAGCAGGCAACAGAGCAGACCTACTGCGGCTGGACAGGGCATCTTCTGTGGTCCTCGGAGAAGCCAGCTGAACGTTCAGTAGCCACGTGGGAGCTTACATGACAGATTGGAAGATGGGATCCTCTAATACAGAGCTAGTTCACCTCGGATGCCTAGATTTCATCAGGACTTTTACTGAGAAACAAGTGATGAAGAAACTTGGGACTAAGCTGGAGAGAGAAAGAGAAATCTTAAGTCTTGCAATGCTTATGTCTCAGAGCCTTGCTGGAGTAAGAGATTTATTTCCATCCTTAAGATATTAGAACCTGTAAGTGAAATGGAACTAAATGAAGGGGCAACTCGTTCCAACTCAGATAAACTCTTGATTGTATTGAAGAGATCCACTCTTTAACTGCTTGACAGAGGAAATGCAGTGCTTTCTCTGGGGGAAAGTATTGCCAACTTCATTACCTATTGTTCTTTTATATACAATGTCCGGGGAAAATAAAAATATTGAGGGACACAAACATAAGAAAATGGAATCCATAATCAAGAGAAAAAATAGTTGATATAAGCATACCCACAGATGACCCAGATATTTGAATTAGCAGATAAGAACTTTAAGACTACTTGTTATGCTGAAGAATTTGGAGGAAAGATGGTCCTAATTTCATTTTTTTTTTTAAACAAGAGCTAATTAATAACCCGATATTTAAGCAATATAAATTTTTATATCTATCTTCACTTTTAGTTAAGTAAATTTATAGTTTAAAAAAAATCCTGTTTTGAGTATTTGTTCTTCAGAAGACGAGGGTAAATCAAATCAGGCAATTAGATATTTCAGATAAGAATTTTTAGTGGAATAATTAAGGTTATCACATATGCTATGTAAAATAAGCATCAACCAGCAGAATTCTTAAGATACTACATTCTGGTAAGCCCATGTTCCTTTGCAGTGGTAGAAATAAGATTATTCTTGCTTTTACCACATAGAAGAGAGCATACCTAACCAGTCAGTCCTGTTATAATAGAAGAGTGCAACATAGAATCAGAATAGCAAAGTTGATCTTTGGGCCAAAGTTGGAGGAGGACTGGCCTTCAGTGATAGAAGGGGTTAATTACTGATGTATATGGATTTAAAGATCTGAAGTTCCTTCCACATCTAAATATGCTCTCTGTTTATCTACCAACAGGTACAACTGTAACTGCTTTAAGGTTGTTTAAGAACCTGCCTGTAAGAAAGCAATTTTACTCAACTACTAAAAAATGTAAAGATGAAATAAAAAAAGTTCTAGATCTCCTCATAAGCTATGGAATACTTAAACCTGACTTAAGGATTCTTTTTATACATAACAAGGTATGCATTATTGTATTTCTGTAAGATTTTTTTTTTTTGTATATGATATATTAAAAGGACAATGAATTTTATCTAAATCAAACATGTAAAGAGCCTTCTTAAAATTTGTCCTCATTTGTTTAGTTTAATCTCAGTAAATAGTCTTTATCTTATTACTTAATATCTATATAAAGTCTGATGGCACCTTTCATTTCTTAATTTCTAAGATCAGAGATTCCCCCCAACAGACTCTTCCACGCAAGCAGTGTTTCTGTGCTTCCTAAATCTGAAGATAAATAAAGATTTATTCTTTCCTTTAAGGAGTTCGCAATTTAGTGACATTTTTCATCAACTGTTCTAACCCCTTCCTTCTTTGGAAGAGTTTATTTTTTAAAGGAAACTCTACCTTATTTTCTCACATTTTTCTTGCTGCTTGATGAATCTTAGGGAAAAGAAAGGCTTACATAATTTCTAACTATTTTGTTTTTCATAAAATTGGACATGTGTACCTTGAAATAATTAACAGAAGGAGAGCAGAACCACACAGCAGAAGTGTGTAAGCCTGATGGGGAATAGGGGTTAACATTTATTGAGAACCTACATAACGCCAGGACCTATGTAGGTAACTCCATAATCCACATCAACAATCAAGTGAGGTAGACATACTAGTTTTGCAGTTGTCCTCTGAAATGAACTCAGGAAGGTCCCATACTTCACTCCGTATTGCATGGCTAGTAAATTGTGATTTGAAACTAACATGCCTACAGAGTGCAGGTCTTTACACTCTGTTGCTTCCCATTTTAAACTTTTTTTTTTAATATATATTTTATTGATTTTGTACAGAGAGGAAGGGAGAGAGATAGAGAGTCAGGAACATCGATGAGAGAGAGTCATCGATCAGCTGCCTCCTGCACACCCCCTCTTGGGGATATGCCAGCAACCAAGGTACATATCCTTGACCGGAATCGAACCCGGGACCTTTCAGTTGCCAAGCCGACGCTCTATCCATTGAGCTAAACCGGTTTCGGCTGTTGCTTCCCATTTTAATAGTACTTTATCAATAGCAATAAAAGTGTAATATGCTAATTAGACCAACGTCCTTCCGGATGACCTTCCAGACAAAAGCTGGGGCTGCAGCTAGGAGGGATCCAGGCTGCTGCCCGGGGCTGTGAGAGGGATCCAGGCAGCCAGGGAGAGACCTCGGCAGCCGCTGCGGCTGTAAAGGCCTACTCTGCACAAAGCTCATGCATCGGGCCTCTAGTATTTATATAGGCCTTTTGCAGGTTTCAGAGAACTTACCAAACTTTGTGAGTCAGACAGCATTATTTCTATTTGCACAGGTAACTTGAAGCTCAGAGTGATCAAAGGATTTTTTATTTTTCTGAGTGATCAGAGGAATAGCTTTATTTTCTAGTAAGAACTGTTTTCACCCAGTTTTCTTTCTACTCCACATGTTTTACTCGTTAAAATTTTGTATTAAACCAGGCTATGGTAGACTATTTATAATAAAAGCCTTTGGTCATTAAAAAGAAAGGAAAACATTAAGAATAGTCAACCACCTGTTCCTGCTGGCATAGAGCTCAACCAAATGATAGCGTGAGATCTCTTCCAGCTCAGCCATGCCGGGACTCCTCAGGATGGCAACGGGTGGCGGCTTGTCCTGATAATACAAATAACACTAGGACCTCTTGATTCAGTTTGTCTACTAATTAAAAGTTGAGTGTAACCAATTAAAAAAAGATCGAAGACAAGAAATAGTGATCAGGAAGAGAAAACTGATGGAAAAGGTAAAATATTAAGATGGGAACTATATATTTATAGAAGTGAGTACAACTAAAGAAGGAAGTTAAGTAAGAGAAAACATAATTGAAGAATAAAATAAGATTATTGCCTCAAGTAATGTAAATGAGTATTTAAAGTCAAATATATATATATTTATATACACACACACATTCATATATACATATACGCACACATAGCTTATAAGCTTTGGATAAGTTTATATTATTTCTTCAGCTACTGTAAGATCATCAGCATAGGTATTTTAAGAAAAAAAAGCAGGGTTTTATCTTGCATCTTACTGTTTTTGGAGGGCAACATATCTGAACTTACACTGAGCAACCACGAGTCCCTCGATGGCCTTCGGTAACGTCGAGTCCTGAGAGTGTGCGGAGAGTGCTGTGCAGTGACAGTATGTCAGACTATCAAAAGTCTTCCGTAACCTAGGCATCAGCTATTATTACACAAGGAGACCGTGGACTAAGCCACAGCAAGCCGTCCATTTTCAAGCCTTTTTCTCTCAGTACAGATTGTTTTTCTACTTTTTGTTTCTTAATAGTGCTGTTGTGCCTCGAATTTTAAAAAAAATATTGTTAAGCTTCCAAAAACAGCATTGCCACATTTTCTTAAATCTTTTTGAACAGTGATTTCCCTTCTGATCTTAGTCTTTTTCTTTTAAACATGCTTACTCTTATCCTATTTTATGTGCTTTTCTGAAGAATGTTTGTGCCTTTGCTTAAAATTTAAACATGATAATGTTGGCATCTTTTCCTTTTTTGAAAAAAAATTTTTGCTGTACAAGCAAACAATCACATTACACATAATATGAGAAGTACTATTGCTATTTTGACATCTTGGATTAGATAGTGTTTCTTCTTTTTATGAAGGTTTAACCTGCCAAGACATTCTTTGAATACTGATAATGTCAATGTTCTTGCCAGTATGGTTATGTTAGAAAGAGGTGTTTTTCTTCTTTCATCATCATGTTCCTTGAAAGCGTATTGAATAATAAGACAGCCAAAGGGAAATAATTCACAAGTTGATTCAGTGAGTTTATGTAAATAATTTACAAGTGGACTCAGTGAGTTTTTTACTTGGAGAAATTCTAGAACCATTCCTTAGGATAAGCACTACAATTTTCAACTTTAGTTGTAATAACTGAGTTCCTGTAAAGTCCCGCTGCATATATTTTCATTTGTAAAGTAATTTCCCATAATTAGAAGTTTTTCTCAGTGTGATAATATCTGAAACCAATTTACTATTCTTAGCATGTACATTTATATATCACTAGTTCAGAACATAATGTTAAATGTATGAGTTCAGATAAGAGATACTTTCACACTTCATACTTATTTTTCTGTGAATATTTCTTTTGCCCAAAATACTGTGTGTAGTTTTTAAAAATTGTTTGGAATTCAATTTTTGTCTTCATAATTAGAAGGCCACTGATACTGCAAAAGCTAAATTGGATATCATTGATATAAAAAAGGTTTTAACTAGTACAAAGGAGAAGTAATTGAAGGAATGACTTCCCACATACCCCACCTCCAGGTGCTGAGTGCTGAGGTTATTGGATCAGTTTATGCATGCTTGAGGTTTGGGAGGATGCTGATAGCTTTGAAGCGTAGACTCTCTGTGTCTATCAGTCTGGGAAGAGGCAGGGCCTTAGGAACAGAAACCCAGGAAACTGGGCAAAGTTTTGGGGTTTCCTAGGAGGCTACTCCTCTGGGGTGATGTTCAAAGATTTGGGGGATGGGGGTGACCAAGAATGAGGAAGGGATTAGTTTATTGGATTATAAATTAAAAGTAAGTGAGTGGTAATTTATAATCTGTTGCTTACAATCAGAGATTTTTTTTTTTTTTTTGCATCTTTACCATTTTATCCTTCTTTGCATCTTTTAGCCTTTTACTCCAATATTTTTTAATGTCCCAGTTTTGTTTCAGCTGTGCTGTGAGGAATCAAGGGAAACTCTTTTGCCCACAAATGGATCAATGTTAAAGGGGCCCGCCCTTTCCCCATCCCAGCAAGGGTTTTGGAGGCAGTGTAGTTAAAGAGAAAATTTTCAGGTTAGGGCTGTGCCTTAAATGCTTCCTTTTGAAGGAATTACTCCTTCAGTTCCAATGTTGAAAGTTTGGGTGGGTTTTGTTTTTGTTTCTTTTTTAGTGAATGAAGGCAGATGTCTCTTTAGATATATTTTATTTATTTGTTTATTTATTTGTTTATTAAAAAGCTGAACAATTTTAATTTATTTGTTTTATAACTTTACTTTTATTGTTGGCACTATTACAGATGTCCCCATTCCTGCTCCCCTTTGCCCACCTTCACCCAGTCCCCCCACCCCCCCCACTCCACCCCCCTCCCCCCGTAATTTAATGCTTCATCCATTCTCCTTTGGCTTCTTCACAGCTGCTAGACTCGGAGCTTTGAGTAGGTGCTCTGAACAGTTATGTGATGGCCTGCACCCAGAAAGGGCCTACAGTGTAAGTCAGGAAATACTGCAAAAGTATCTGAACACTTATAGATGGGAATAATGAAAACTTGTTGAGTGGTTGTTGAATGATATAGATCAATGCTATAGACATTGAGAGGACAGAACGTTTGCTTTGGGCTAGACTTCCTGGTGGAAGTATTCTGAGGGCCTCTGCTCTCAGAATAAGACCACTGCTCTCTCTTCTATGCCTCCATCTGCAGGTGTCAGATAGGATTCCCAGAACTCATAATCATGGCAAGACCTTAAAAGTCAGAATCTTGCAACTGCTCCCTGCTTTGAGACTATTAGCCTAATGTCGTCATGTTTTTATTCCTATTGCTGTCAGTTAAAACAAGAAGCCTGGGTCTCTCAAATCATCCCTTATCGCCCTTGGCTCTTCCTCATACAAATCATTGCTTTTTCTAACTCTGCTTCGTACACCTGCCCATCTGTCGTGCTCATTTCATGGTAAGTCAAGTAAAATCTCCTGTGTCCTTAGCCTCTTCTGTGACCACCTTGCTCCAACTGAAATCTGGCTCTTCCTGAGAATCTTGTATTCCTTGCAGCCTTATCAAATGATGACTAAATAAATGATGATTAAATGACTAAAATATTTCAGCTTTCAATCTTGCTCTTTTGGCTCCTAGGTTATTATCACTATAGTTAATTCAATATCCTCATAGGAAGTCTTTTCTGGAGTCTCAGATCTTTTATCCCTCTCCTCCAGTGTCTTTTCTTCTCCACCCTGTCTCAGCCACTGATTCCTGTGGC